GTCCACGTCCACGTCCACGTCACGTCTACGACCACGTCCACTTCCACGTCCATATCCACGACCACGTCCACGTCCACGTCCACGTCCAAGTCCACGTCCAAGTCCACGTCCACGTCCACGTCAACATCCACTTCCACGACCACGTCCACGTCCACGTCCACGTCCAGGTCCACGTCCAAGTCCTCGTCCACGTCCACGTCCACGTCCAAGTCTACGTCCACGTCCACGTCCACGTCCAAGTCCACGTCCACGTCCACGTCCACGTCTACATCCACGTCCACGACCACGTCCACGTCCACGTCCACGTCCACCTCCACGTCCACGTCCACGACCACGTCCTCGTCCACGTCGACGACCATCTCCACGTCCACGTCTACGTCCACGTCCACGTCCATGTCCAAGTCCACGTCCACGTCCAGGTCCACGTTCACGTCCACGTCCACGTCCACTCCACGTCCACGTCCACGTCCTCGTCCACGTCAACGTCCACGTCCACGTCCACGACCACGTCCACGTCCACGTCGACGACCACGTCCACGTCCACGTCCACGTCCACCTCCACGACAACGTCCACATCCACATCCACGTCCACGACCACGTTCACGTCCACGTCCACGTCCACGTCCACCTCCACGTCCATGTCCACGTCCACGTCCACGTCCGCGTCCACGTCCACGTCCACCTCCAAGACCATGTCCACATCCACGTCCAAGTCCACGTCCACGTCCACGTCCATGACCACGTCCACGTCCACGTCCATGACCACGTCCACATCCACGTCCACGTCCACATCCATGACCACGTCCACGTCCACGTCCACGTCCACCTCCACGTCCACGTCCACGACCACGTCCACGTCCACGTCCACGTCCACGACCACGTCCTCGTCCACGTCCACGACCATCTCCACGTCCACGTCCACGTCCACGTCCACGTCCACGTCCACGTCCTCGTCCACGTCCACGTCCAGGTCCACGTTCACGTCCACGTCCACGTCCTCTCCACGTCCACGTCCACGTCCTCGTCCACGTCAACGTCCACGTACAGGTCCACTCCACGTCCACGTCCACGTCCACTCCACATCCACGTCCACGTCCTCGTCCACGTCAACGTCCACGTCCACGTCCACAACCACGTCCACGTCCACATCCACGTCCACGTCTACGACCACGTCCACGTCCACGTCCATGTCCACGACCACGTCCACGTCCACGTCCACGTCCAAGTCCACGTCCAAGTCCACATCCACGTCCACGTCCACATCCACGACCACGTCCAGGTCCACGTCCACGTCCATGTCCACGTCCACGACCACCTCCACGACCACGTCCACGTCCATGTCCACGTCCACTTCAACGTCCACGTCCGCGACCACGTCCACGTCCACGTCCACGTCCACGTCCACCTCCACGTCCACGTCCACGACCACGTCCACGTCCACGTCCACGTCCACGTCCAGGTCCACGTCCACGTCCACACGTCCACGTCCACGTCCACGACCACATCCACGTCCACGTCCACGTCCACGTCCACGTCCACCTCCACGTCCACGTCCACGTCCACGACCACGTCCACGTCCACGTCCATGTCCACGTCCACGTCTACACGTCCACGTCCACGACCACGTCCATGTCCACGTTCACGTCCACCTCCACGTCCACGTCTACGTCCACGTCCACGTCCACGACCACGTCCACGTCCACGTCCACGTCCACGTCCACGTTCACGTCCACCTCCACGTCCACGTCTACGTCCACATCCACGTCCACGACCACGTCCACGTCCACGTCCACGTCCAAGTCCTCCACGTCCTCCACGTCCACGTCCACGTCCACGACCACATCCACGTCCACGTCCACGTCCTCCACGTCCACGTCCACGTCCTCGTCCATGTCAACGTCCACGTCCACGTCCACGATCACGTCCACGTCCACGTCCACGTCCAGGTCCACGTCCACGTCCACGTCCACGTCTATGTCCACGTCCACCTCCACGTCCACGTCTACGTCCACGTTCACCTCCACGACCACGTCCACGTCCACGTCCACGTCCAAGTCCAGGTCCCCGTCCAAGTCCACGTCCACATCCCCGTCCACGACCACGTCCACGTCCACGTCCACGTCCACGACCACGTCCACGTCCACGTCCACGTCCATCTCCACGTCCACATCCACGACCACGTCCACGACCACGTCCACGTCCACCTCCACGTCCACGTCCACGACCACGTCCACGTCCACGTCCACATCCACCTCCACATCCACGTCCACGACCACGTCCACGTCCACGTCCACGTCCACGACCATGTCCACATCAACATCCTCCACGTCCACGTCGACGTCCACGTCATCGTCCACGTCCACGTCCATGTCCACGTCCACGTCCACGACCACGTCGACGTCCACGTCCACATTCATGTCGAGGTTCGCGTCCACGTCCACGTCCACGTCCACTTCCACGACCACGTCCACGTCCACGTCCAGGTCCACGTCCAAGTCCTCGTCCACGTCCACATCCACGTCCAAGTCCACGTCCACGTCCACGTCCACGTCCACTTCTACGAGCACGTCCACATCCACGTCCAGGTCCATGTCCACGTCCAAGTCCACGTCCACGTCCACGTCCACGTCCACATCCAAGTCCACGTCCACTTCCACGTCCACGACCATCTCCACGTCCACGTCTACGTCCACGTCCATGACCACGACCACGTCCACGTCCACGTCCACCTCCACGTCCACGTCCACGACCACGTCCTCATCCACGTCCACGACCATCTCCACATCCACGTCTACGTCCACGTCCACGTCCATGTCCAAGTCCACGTCCACGTCCAGGTCCACGTTCACGTCCACGTCCACGTCCACTCCACGTCCACGTCCACGTCCTCGTCCACGTCAACGTCCACATCCACGTCCACGACCACGTCCATGTCCACGTCAACGACCACGTCCACGTCAACGACCACGTCCACGTCAACGACCACGTCCACGTCCACGACCACGTCCACGTCCACGTCCACGTCCACCTCCACGTCCATGTCCACGTCCACGTCCGCGTCCACGTCCACGTCCGCGTCCACGTCCACGTCCACCTCCACGACCATGTCCACGTCCACGTCCAAGTCCACGTCCACGTCCACGTCCACGTCCGCGTCCAAGTCCTCCACGTCCTCCACGTCCACGTCCACGTCCACGTCCACGACCACATCCACGTCCACGTCCACGTCCTCCACGTCCACGTCCACGTCCTCGTCCACGTCAACATCCACGTCCACGTCCACGACCACGTCCACGTCCACGTCCACGTCCAGGTCCACGTCCACATCCACGTCCACGTCCACCTCCATGACCAGGTCCACGTCCACGTCCACCTCCACGTCCACGTCCACGTCCAAGTCCACGTCCACGTCCACGTCCACGTCCAAGTCCACGTCCACGTCCACGTCCACGTCCAAGTCCAAGTCCACGTCCACGTCCACGACCACGTCCACGTCCACGTCCACGTCCACGTCCACGACCACGTCCACGTCCACGTCCACGTCCACGACCACGTCCACCTCCACGTCCTCGTCCACCTCCACGTCCACGTCCACGGCCACGTCCTCGTCCACGTCCACGACCACGTCCACGTCCACGTCCACGACCACGTCCACGTCCACGTCCACGTCCAAGTCGACATCCACGTCCACGACCACGTCCACGTCCACGTCCACGTCCACGTCCACGTCCAAGTCCACGTCCACGTCCACGTCCACGTCCACGTCCAAGTCCAAGTCCACGTCCACGTCCACGACCACGTCCACGTCCACGTCCACGTCCACGTCCACGACCACGTCCACGTCCACGTCCACGTCCACGTCCACGACCACGTCCACCTCCATGTCCTCGTCCACCTCCACGTCCACGTCCACGGCCACGTCCTCGTCCACGTCCACGACCACGTCCACGTCCACGTCCACGACCACGTCCACGTCCACGTCCACGTCCAAGTCGACGTCCACGTCCACGACCACGTCCACGTCCACGTCCACGTCCACGACCACGTCCTCGTCCACCCCCACGACCATCTCCACGTCCACGTCTACGTCCACGTCTACGTCTACGTCCACGTCCACGTCCAAGTCCACGTCCACGTCCAGGTCCACGTTCACGTCCACGTCCACGTCCACGTCCACTCCACGTCCACGTCCACGTCCTCGTCCACGTCAACGTCTACGTCGAGGTCCACTCCACGTCCACGTCCACGTCCACGTCCACGTCCACGACCACGTCCTCGTCCACGTCCATGACCATCTCCACGTCCACGTCTACGTCCACGTCTACGTCCACGTCCACGTCCACGTCCAAGTCCACGTCCACATCCACGTCCAGGTCCACGTTCACGTCCACGTCCACGTCCACTCCACGTCCACGTCCACGTCCTCGTCCACGTCAACGTCCACTTCCAGGTCCACTCCACGTCCACGTCCACGTCCACGTCCACCTCCACGACCACGTCCACGTCCACGTCCACGTCCAAGTCCACGTCCAAGTCCACGTCCACGTCGACGTCAAGGTCCAGGTCCACGTCCACGTCCACGTCCAAGTCCACGTCCACGTCCACGTCCACGACCACGTCCACGTCTACGTCCACGTCCACGTCCCAACCACGTCCACGTCCACGTCCTCGTCCACCTCCACGTCCACGTCCACGACCACGTCCTTGTCCACGTCCACGACCACGTCCACATCCACGTCCACGTCCACGTCCACGACCACGTCCACGTCCACTCCACGTCCACGTCCACGTCCACGTCCACCTCCACGACCACGTCCACGTCCACGTCCACGTCCAAGTCCACGTCCAAGTCCACGTCCACGTCGACGTCAAGGTCCAGGTCCACGTCCACGTCCACGTCCAAGTCCACGTCCACGTCCACGTCCACGACCACGTCCACGTCTACGTCCACGTCCACGTCCCAACCACGTCCACGTCCACGTCCTCGTCCACCTCCACGTCCACGTCCACGACCACGTCCTTGTCCACGTCCACGACCACGTCCACATCCACGTCCACGTCCACGTCCACGTCCACGTCCACGTCCACGACCACGTCGACGTCCACGTCCACGACCACGTCCTCGTCCACGTCCACGACCATCTCCACGTCCACGTCTACGTCCACGTCCACGTCCAAGTCCACGTCCACGTCCAGGTCCACGTTCACGTCCACATCCACGTCCACTCCACGTCCACGTCCACGTCCTCGTCCACGTCAACGTCCACGTCCAGGTCCACTACACGTCCACGTCCACGTCCACGTCCACTCCACATCCACGTCCACGTCCTCGTCCACGTCAACGTCCACGTCCACGTCAACAACCACGTCCATGTCCACGTCCACGACCACCTCCACGACCACGTCCACGTCCACGTCCACGTCCACCTCAACGTCCACGTCCACTACCACGTCCACGTCCACGACCACGTCCACGTCCACGTCCACGTCTACGTCCACGTCCACGTCCACGTCCACCAACACGTCCACGTCCACGTCTACGTCCACGTCCAGGTCCACGTTCACGTCCACGTCCACGTCTACGTTCACGTCCACCTCCACGACCACGTCAACGTCCACGTCCACGTCCAAGTCCAGGTCCACGTCCAAGTCCACGTCCACATCTCCGTCCACGACCACGCCCACGTCCACGTCCACGTCCACGACCACCTCCACGTCCACGTCCACGTCCACGTCCACCTCCACGTCCACATCCACGACCACGTCCACGACCACGTCCACGTCCACCTCCACATCCACGTCCACGACCACGTCCACGTCCACGTCCACGTCCACGTCCACCTCCACATCCACGTCCACGACCACGTCCACGTCCACGTCCACGTCCACGTCCACCTCCACGTCCACGTCCACGACCATGTCCACATCAACATCCTCCACGTACATGTCGACGTCCACGTCATCGTCCACGTCCACGTCCATGTCCACGTCCACGTCCACGACCACGTCGACGTCCACGTCCACGTTCACCTCGAGGTCCACGTCCACATCCACGTCCACGTCCACGTCCACGTCCACTTCCACGACCACGTCCACGTCCACGTCCACGTCCAGGTCCACGTCCAAGTCCTCGTCCATGTCCACATCCACGTCCAAGTCCACGTCCACGTCCACGTCCACGTCCACTTCCACGACCACGTCCACGTCCACGTCCACGTCCAGGTCCACGTCCAAGTCCTCGTCCACGTCCACATCCACGTCCAAGTCCACGTCCATGTCCACGTCAACATCCACTTCCACGACCACGTCCACGTCCACGTCCACGTCCAGGTCCACGTCCACGTCCACGTCCACGTCCAGGTCCACGTCCACGTCCACGTCCACGTCCACGACCACGTCCTTGTCCACGTCCACGTCCACGTCCAAGTCCACGTCCACGTCCACGTCCAAGTCCACGTCCACGTCCACGTCCACGACCATCTCCACGTCCACGTCTACGTCCACGTCCACGACCACGTCCACGTCCACGTCCACGTCCACCTCCACGTCCACGTCCACGACCACGTCCTCGTCCACGTTGACGACCATCTCCACGTCCACGTCTACGTCCACGTCCACGTCCATGTCCAAGTCCACGTCCACGTCCAGGTCCACGTTCACGTCCACGTCCACGTCCACTCCACGTCCACGTCCACGTCCTCGTCCACGTCAACGTCCACGTCCACGTCCACGACCACGTCCACGTCCACGTCGACGACCACGTCCACGTCCACGTCCACGTCCACCTCCACGACCACGTCCACATCCACATCCACGTCCACGACCATGTCCACGTCCACGTCCACGTCCACCTCCACGTCCATGTCCACGTCCACGTCCACGCCCGCGTCCACGTCCACGGCCACCTCCAAGACCATGTCCACATCCACGTCCAAGTCCACGTCCACGTCCACGTCCATGACCACGTCCACGTCCACGTCCAGGACCACGTCCACATCCACGTCCACGTCCACGTCCATGACCACGTCCACATCCACGTCCACGTCCACCTCCACGTCCACGTCCACGTCCACGACCACGTCCACGTCCACGTCCACGTCCACGACCACGTCCTCGTCCACGTCCACGACCATCTCCACGTCCACGTCCACGTCCACGTCCACGTCCACGTCCAAGTCCACGTCCACGTCCAGGTCCACGTTCACGTCCACGTCCACGTCCACTCCACGTCCACGTCCACGTCCTCGTCCACGTCAACGTCCACGTCCAGGTCCACTCCACGTCCACGTCCACGTCCACTCCACCTCCACGTCCACGTCCCCGTCCACGTCAACGTCCACGTCCACGTCCACAACCACGTCCACGTCCACGTCCACGTCCACGTCTACGACCACGTCCACGTCCACGTCCATGTCCACGACCACGTCCACGTCCACGTCCACGTCCAAGTCCACGTCCAAGTCCACGTCCACGACCACGTCCACGTCCACGTCCACGTCCAAGTCCACGTCCAAGTCCACGTCCACGACCACGTCCACGTCCACGTCCACGTCCAAGTCCACGTCCAAGTCCACATCCACGTCCACGTCCTCATCCACGACCACGTCCAGGTCCACGTCCACGTCCACTTCAACGTCCACGACCACCTCCACGACCACGTCCACGTCCACGTCCACGTCCACCTCCACGTCCACGTCCATGTCCACGTCCACGTCCACGTCCACGTCCACGACCACGTCCATGTCCACGTTCACGTCCACCTCGACGTCCACGTCTACGTCCACGTCCACGTCCACGACCACGTCCACTTCCACGTCCACGTCCACGTTCACGTCCACCTCCACGTCCACGTCTACGTCCACGTCCACGTCCACGACCACGTCCACGTCCACGTCCACGTCCACGTCCACATCCATGTCCAAGTCCTCCACGTCCTTCACGTCCACGTCCACGTCCACGACCACATCCACGTCCACGTCCACGTCCTCCACGTCCACGTCCACGTCCTCGTCCACGTCAACGTCCACGTCCACGTCCACGACCACGTCCACGTCCGCGTCCACGTCCAGGTCCACGTCCACGTCCACGTCCACGTCTATGTCCACGTCCACCTCCACGTCCACGTCTACGTCCACGTCCACCTCCACGACCACGTCCACGTCCACGTCCACGTCCAAGTCCAGGTCCCCGTCCAAGTCCACGTCCACATCCCCGTCCACGACCACGTCCACGTCCACGTCCACGACCACGTCCACGTCCACGTCCACGTCCATCTCCACGTCCACATCCACGACCACGTCCACGACCACGTCCACGTCCACCTCCACGTCCACGTCCACGACCACGTCCACGTCCACGTCCACATCCACCTCCACATCCACGTCCACGACAACGTCCACGTCCACGTCCACGTCCACGTCCACGACCATTTCCACATCAACATCCTCCACGTCCACGTCGACGTCCACGTCATCGTCCACGTCCACGTCCATGTCCACGTCCACGTCCACGACCACGTCGACGTCCACGTCCACATTCACGTCAAGGTCCACGTCCACGTCCACGTCCACGTCCACTTCCACGACCACGTCCACGTCCACGTCCACGTCCACGTCCAGGTCCACGTCCAAGTCCTCGTCCACGTCCACATCCACGTCCAAGTCCAAGTCCACGTCCACGTCCACGTCCACGTCCACTTCCACGACCACGTCCACGTCCACGTCCAGGTCCACGTCCAAGTCCTCGTCCACGTCCACATCCACGTCCAAGTCCACGTCCACGTCCATGTCCACTTCTACGACCACGTCCACGTCCACGTCCAGGTCCACGTCCACGTCCATGTCCACGTCCACGTCCACGTCCACGTCCACATCCAAGTCCACGTCCACTTCCACGTCCACGACCATCTCCACGTCCACGTCTACGTCCACGTCCACGACCACGTCCACGTCCACGTCCATGTCCACCTCCACGTCCACGTCCACGACCACGTCCTCATCCACGTCCACGACCATCTCCACATCCACGTCTACGTCCACGTCCACGTCCATGTCCAAGTCCACGTCCACGTCCAGGTCCACGTTCACGTCCACGTCCACGTCCACTCCACGTCCACGTCCACGTCCTCGTCCACGTCAACGTCCACATCCACGTCCACGACCACGTCCATGTCCACGTCAACGACCACGTCCACGTCAACGACCACGTCCACGTCAACGACCACGTCCACGTCCACGACCACGTCCACGTCCACGTCCACGTCCACGTCCACCTCCACGTCCATGTCCACGTCCACGTCCGCGTCCACGTCCACGTCCACGTCCGCGTCCACGTCCACGTCCGCGTCCACGTCCACGTCCACCTCCACGACCATGTCCACGTCCACGTCCAAGTCCACGTCCACGTCCACGTCCACGTCCACGTCCACGTCCAAGTCCTCCACGTCCTCCACGTCCACGTCCACGTCCACATCCACGACCACATCCACGTCCACGTCCACGTCCTCCACGTCCACGTCCACGTCCTCGTCCACGTCAACATCCACGTCCACGTCCACGACCACGTCCACGTCCACGTCCACGTCCAGGTCCACGTCCACATCCACGTCCACGTCCACGTCCACATCCAAGTCCACGTCCACTTCCACGTCCACGACCATCTCCACGTCCACATCTACGTCCACGTCCACGACCACGTCCACGTCCACGTCCACGTCCACGTCCACCTCCACGTCCACGTCCACGACCACGTCCTCATCCACGTCCACGACCATCTCCACATCCACGTCTACGTCCACGTCCACGTCCATGTCCAAGTCCACGTCCACGTCCAGGTCCACGTTCACGTCCACGTCCACGTCCACTCCACGTCCACGTCCACGTCCTCGTCCACGTCAACGTCCACATCCACGTCCACGACCACGTCCATGTCCACGTCAACGACCACGTCCACGTCAACGACCACGTCCACGTCAACGACCACGTCCACGTCCACGACCACGTCCACGTCCACGTCCACGTCCACGTCCACCTCCACGTCCATGTCCACGTCCACGTCCGCGACCACGTCCACGTCCGCGTCCACGTCCACGTCCACCTCCACGACCATGTCCACGTCCACGTCCAAGTCCACGTCCACGTCCACGTCCACGTCCACGTCCAAGTCCTCCACGTCCTCCACGTCCACGTCCACGTCCACGTCCACGTCCACGACCACATCCACGTCCACGTCCACGTCCTCCACGTCCACGTCCACGTCCTCGTCCACGTCAACATCCACGTCCACGTCCACGACCACGTCCACGTCCACGTCCAGGTCCACGTCCACGTCCACGTTCACGTCCACGTCCACCTCCACGACCAGGTCCACGTCCACATCCACCTCCACGTCCACGTCCACGTCCAAGTCCACGTCCACGTCCACGTCCAAGTCCACGTCCACGTCCACGTCCACGTCCAAGTCCAAGTCCACGTCCACGTCCACGACCACGTCCACGTCCACGTCCACGTCCACGTCCACGACCACGTCCACGTCCACGTCCACGTCCACGTCCACGACCACGTCCACCTCCACGTCCTCGTCCACCTCCACGTCCACGTCCACGGCCACGTCCTCATCCACGTCCACGACCACGTCCACGTCCACGTCCACGACCACGTCCAGGTCCACGTCTACGTCCAAGTCGACGTCCACGTCCACGAACACGTCGACGTCCACGTCCACGTCCACGACCACGTCCTCGTCCACCTCCACGACCATCTCCACGTCCACGTCTACGTCATCGTCTACGTCCACGTCCACGTCCACGTCCAAGTCCACGTCCACGTCCAGGTCCACGTTCACGTCCACGTCCACGTCCACGTCCACTCCACTTCCACGTCCACGACCTCGTCCACGTCAACGTCTACGTCAAGGTCCACTCCACGTCCACGTCCACGTCCACATCCACGACCACGTCCTCGTCCACGTCCATGACCATCTCCACGTCCACGTCTACGTCCACGTCTACGTCCACGTCCACGTCCACGTCCAAGTCCACGTCCACATCCACGTCCAGGTCCACGTTCACGTCCACGTCCACGTCCACTCCACGTCCACGTCCACGTCCTCGTCCACGTCAACGTCCACTTCCAGGTCCACTCCACGTCCACGTCCACGTCCACGTCCACCTCCACGACCACGTCCACGTCCACGTCGACGTCCACGTCCAAGTCCACGTCCAAGTCCACGTCCACGTCGACGTCAAGGTCAACGTCCACGTCCACGTCCACGTCCAAGTCCACGTCCACGTCCATGTCCACGACCACGTCCACGTCTACGTCCACGTCCACGTCCCAACCACGTCCACGTCCACGTCCTCGTCCATCTCCACGTCCACGTCCACGACCACGTCCTTGTCCACGTCCACAACCACGTCCACGTCCACGTCCACGTCCACGACCACGTCCACGTCCACGTCCACGTCCAAGTCCACGTCCACGTCCACGACCACGTCTACGTCCACGTCCACGTCCACGACCACGTCCTCGTCCACGTCCACGACCATCTCCACGTCCACGTCTACGTCCACGTCCACGTCCAAGTCCACGTCCACGTCCAGGTCCACGTTCACGTCCACGTCCACGACCACTCCATGTCCACGTCCACGTCCTCGTCCACGTCAACGTCCACGTCCAGGTCCACTCCACGTCCACGTCCACGTCCACGTCCACTCCACATCCACGTCCACGTCCTCGTCCACGTCAACATCCACCTCCACATCAACAACCACGTCCACGTCCACGTCCACGTCCACCTCTACGACCACGTCCACGTCCACGTCCATGTCCACGACCATGTCCATGTCCACGTCCACGTCCAAGTCCACGTCCAAGTCCACATCCACGTCCACGTCCACATCCACGACCACGTCCAGGTCCACGTCCACGTCCATGTCCACGTCCACGACCACCTCCACGACCACGTCCACGTCTACGAACACCTCAACGTCCACGTCCACGACCACGTCCACGTCCACGACCACGTCCACGTCCACGTCCACGTCCACGTCTACGTCCACGTCCACGTCCACGTCCACCACCACGTCCACGTCCACGTCTACGTCCACGTCCAGGTCCACGTCCACGTCCACGTCTACGTTCACGTCCACCTCCACGACCACGTCCACGTCCACGTCCACGTCCAAGTCCAGGTCCACGTCCAATTCCACGTCCACATCCCCGTCCACGACCACGTCCACGTCCACGTCCACGTCCACGTCCACGACCACCTCCACGTCCACATCCACGTCCACGTCCACCTCCACGTCCACATCCACAACCACGTCCACGACCACGTCCACGTCCACCTCCACGTCCACATCCACAACCACGTCCACGTCCACGTCCACGTCCACCTCCACATCCACGACCACGTCCACGTCCACGTCCACGTCCACCTCCACGTCCACGTCCACGACCATGTCCACATCAACATCCTCCACGTCCATGTCGACGTCCACGTCATCGTCCACGTCCACGTCCATGTCCACGTCCACGTCCACGACCACGTCGACGTCCACGTCCACGTTCACGTCGAGGTCCAAGTCCACATCCACGTCCACGTCCACGTCCACTTCCACGACCACGTCCACGTCCACGTCCACGTCCAGGTCCACGTCCAAGACCTCGTCCACGTCCACATCCACGTCCAAGTCCACGTCCACGTCCACGTCCACTTCCACGACCACGTCCACGTCCACGTCCACGTCCAGGTCCACGTCCAAGTCCTCGTCCACGTCCACATCCACGTCCAAGTCCACGTCCACGTCCACGTCAACATCCACTTCCACGACCACGTCCACGTCCACGTCCATGTCCAGGTCCACGTCCAAGTCCTCGTCCACGTCCACGTCCAAGTCCACGTCCAAGTCCACGTCCACGTCCACGTCCACGTCCACCTCCAAGACCATGTCCACATCCACGTCCAAGTCCACGTCCACGTCCACGTCCATGACCACGTCCACGTCCACGTCCATGACCACGTCCACATCCACGTCCACGTCCACATCCATGACCACGTCCACGTCCACGTCCACGTCCACCTCCACGTCCACGTCCACGACCACGTCCACGTCCACGTCCACGTCCACGACCACGTCCTCGTCCACGTCCACGACCATCTCCACGTCCACGTCCACGTCCACGTCCACGTCCACGTCCACGTCCTCGTCCACGTCCACGTCCAGGTCCACGTTCACGTCCACGTCCACGTCCTCTCCACGTCCACGTCCACGTCCTCGTCCACGTCAACGTCCACGTACAGGTCCACTCCACTTCCACGTCCACGTCCACTCCACATCCACGTCCACGTCCTCGTCCACGTCAACGTCCACGTCCACGTCCACAACCACGTCCACGTCCACATCCACGTCCACGTCTACGACCACGTCCACGTCCACGTCCATGTCCACGACCACGTCCACGTCCACGTCCACGTCCAAGTCCACGTCCAAGTCCACATCCACGTCCACGTCCACATCCACGACCACGTCCAGGTCCACGTCCACGTCCATGTCCACGTCCACGACCACCTCCACGACCACGTCCACGTCCATGTCCACGTCCACTTCAACGTCCACGTCCGCGACCACGTCCACGTCCACGTCCACGTCCACGTCCACCTCCACGTCCACGTCCACGACCACGTCCACGTCCACGTCCACGTCCACGTCCAGGTCCACGTCCACGTCCACACGTCCACGTCCACGTCCACGACCACATCCACGTCCACGTCCACGTCCACGTCCACGTCCACGTCCACCTCCACGTCCACGTCCACGTCCACGACCACGTCCACGTCCACGTCCACGTCCATGTCCACGTCCACGTCTACACGTCCACGTCCACGACCACGTCCATGTCCACGTTCACGTCCACCTCCACGTCCACGTCTACGTCCACGTCCACGTCCACGACCACGTCCACGTCCACGTCCACGTCCACGTCCACGTTCACGTCCACCTCCACGTCCACGTCTACGTCCACATCCACGTCCACGACCACGTCCACGTCCACGTCCACGTCCAAGTCCTCCACGTCCTCCACGTCCACGTCCACGTCCACGACCACATCCACGTCCACGTCCACGTCCTCCACGTCCACGTCCACGTCCTCGTCCATGTCAACGTCCACGTCCACGTCCACGATCACGTCCACGTCCACGTCCACGTCCAGGTCCACGTCCACGTCCACGTCCACGTCTATGTCCACGTCCACCTCCACGTCCACGTCTACGTCCACGTTCACCTCCACGACCACGTCCACGTCTACGTCCACGTCCAAGTCCAGGTCCCCGTCCAAGTCCACGTCCACATCCCCGTCCACGACCACGTCCACGTCCACGTCCACGTCCACGACCACGTCCACGTCCACGTCCACGTCCATCTCCACGTCCACATCCACGACCACGTCCACGACCACTTCCACGTCCACCTCCACGTCCACGTCCACGACCACGTCCACGTCCACGTCCACATCCACCTCCACATCCACGTCCACGACCACGTCCACGTCCACGTCCACGTCCACGACCATGTCCACATCAACATCCTCCACGTCCACGTCGACGTCCACGTCATCGTCCACGTCCACGTCCATGTCCACGTCCACGTCCACGACCACGTCGACGTCCACGTCCACATTCATGTCGAGGTTCGCGTCCACGTCCACGTCCACGTCCACTTCCACGACCACGTCCACGTCCACGTCCAGGTCCACGTCCAAGTCCTCGTCCACGTCCACATCCACGTCCAAGTCCACGTCCACGTCCACGTCCACGTCCACTTCTACGAGCACGTCCACATCCACGTCCAGGTCCATGTCCACGTCCAAGTCCACGTCCACGTCCACGTCCACGTCCACATCCAAGTCCACGTCCACTTCCACGTCCACGACCATCTCCACGTCCACGTCTACGTCCACGTCCATGACCACGACCACGTCCACGTCCACGTCCACCTCCACGTCCACGTCCACGACCACGTCCTCATCCACGTCCACGACCATCTCCACATCCACGTCTACGTCCACGTCCACGTCCATGTCCAAGTCCACGTCCACGTCCAGGTCCACGTTCACGTCCACGTCCACGTCCACTCCACGTCCACGTCCACGTCCTCGTCCACGTCAACGTCCACATCCACGTCCACGACCACGTCCATGTCCACGTCAACGACCACGTCCACGTCAACGACCACGTCCACGTCAACGACCACGTCCACGTCCACGACCACGTCCACGTCCACGTCCACGTCCACCTCCACGTCCATGTCCACGTCCACGTCCGCGTCCACGTCCACGTCCGCGTCCACGTCCACGTCCACCTCCACGACCATGTCCACGTCCACGTCCAAGTCCACGTCCACGTCCACGTCCACGTCCGCGTCCAAGTCCTCCACGTCCTCCACGTCCACGTCCACGTCCACGTCCACGACCACATCCACGTCCACGTCCACGTCCTCCACGTCCACGTCCACGTCCTCGTCCACGTCAACATCCACGTCCACGTCCACGACCACGTCCACGTCCACGTCCACGTCCAGGTCCACGTCCACATCCACGTCCACGTCCACCTCCATGACCAGGTCCACGTCCACGTCCACCTCCACGTCCACGTCCACGTCCAAGTCCACGTCCACGTCCACGTCCACGTCCAAGTCCACGTCCACGTCCACGTCCACGTCCAAGTCCAAGTCCACGTCCACGTCCACGACCACGTCCACGTCCACGTCCACGTCCACGTCCACGTCCACGTCCACGTCCACGTCCACGTCCACGTCCACGACCACGTCCACCTCCACGTCCTCGTCCACTTCCACGTCCACGTCCACGGCCACGTCCTCGTCCACGTCCACGACCACGTCCACGTCCACGTCCACGACCACGTCCACGTCCACGTCCACGTCCAAGTCGACATCCACGTCCACGACCACGTCCACGTCCACGTCCACGTCCACGTCCACGTCCAAGTCCACGTCCACGTCCACGTCCACGTCCACGTCCAAGTCCAAGTCCACGTCCACGTCCACGACCACGTCCACGTCCACGTCCACGTCCACGTCCACGACCACGTCCACGTCCACGTCCACGTCCACGTCCACGACCACGTCCACCTCCATGTCCTCGTCCACCTCCACGTCCACGTCCACGGCCACGTCCTCGTCCACGTCCACGACCACGTCCACGTCCACGTCCACGACCACGTCCACGTCCACGTCCACGTCCAAGTCGACGTCCACGTCCACGACCACGTCCACGTCCACGTCCACGTCCACGACCACGTCCTCGTCCACCCCCACGACCATCTCCACGTCCACGTCTACGTCCACGTCTACGTCTACGTCCACGTCCACGTCCAAGTCCACGTCCACGTCCAGGTCCACGTTCACGTCCACGTCCACGTCCACGTCCACTCCACGTCCACGTCCACGTCCTCGTCCACGTCAACGTCTACGTCGAGGTCCACTCCACGTCCACGTCCACGTCCACGTCCACGTCCACGACCACGTCCTCGTCCACGTCCATGACCATCTCCACGTCCACGTCTACGTCCACGTCTACGTCCACGTCCACGTCCACGTCCAAGTCCACGTCCACATCCACGTCCAGGTCCACGTTCACGTCCACGTCCACGTCCACTCCACGTCCACGTCCACGTCCTCGTCCACGTCAACGTCCACTTCCAGGTCCACTCCACGTCCACGTCCACGTCCACGTCCACCTCCACGACCACGTCCACGTCCACGTCCACGTCCAAGTCCACGTCCAAGTCCACGTCCACGTCGACGTCAAGGTCCAGGTCCACGTCCACGTCCACGTCCAAGTCCACGTCCACGTCCACGTCCACGACCACGTCCACGTCTACGTCCACGTCCACGTCCCAACCACGTCCACGTCCACGTCCTCGTCCACCTCCACGTCCACGTCCACGACCACGTCCTTGTCCACGTCCACGACCACGTCCACATCCACGTCCACGTCCACGTCCACGACCACGTCCACGTCCACTCCACGTCCACGTCCACGTCCACGTCCACCTCCACGACCACGTCCACGTCCACGTCCACGTCCAAGTCCACGTCCAAGTCCACGTCCACGTCGACGTCAAGGTCCAGGTCCACGTCCACGTCCACGTCCAAGTCCACGTCCACGTCCACGTCCACGACCACGTCCACGTCTACGTCCACGTCCACGTCCCAACCACGTCCACGTCCACGTCCTCGTCCACCTCCACGTCCACGTCCACGACCACGTCCTTGTCCACGTCCACGACCACGTCCACATCCACGTCCACGTCCACGTCCACGTCCACGTCCACGTCCACGACCACGTCGACGTCCACGTCCACGACCACGTCCTCGTCCACGTCCACGACCATCTCCACGTCCACGTCTACGTCCACGTCCACGTCCAAGTCCACGTCCACGTCCAGGTCCACGTTCACGTCCACATCCACGTCCACTCCACGTCCACGTCCACGTCCTCGTCCACGTCCACGTCCACGTCCAGGTCCACTACACGTCCACGTCCACGTCCACGTCCACTCCACATCCACGTCCACGTCCTCGTCCACGTCAACGTCCACGTCCACGTCAACAACCACGTCCATGTCCACGTCCACGACCACCTCCACGACCACGTCCACGTCCACGTCCACGTCCACCTCAACGTCCACGTCCACTACCACGTCCACGTCCACGACCACGTCCACGTCCACGTCCACGTCTACGTCCACGTCCACGTCCACGTCCACCAACACGTCCACGTCCACGTCTACGTCCACGTCCAGGTCCACGTTCACGTCCACGTCCACGTCTACGTTCACGTCCACCTCCACGACCACGTCAACGTCCACGTCCACGTCCAAGTCCAGGTCCACGTCCAAGTCCACGTCCACATCTCCGTCCACGACCACGCCCACGTCCACGTCCACGTCCACGACCACCTCCACGTCCACGTCCACGTCCACGTCCACCTCCACGTCCACATCCACGACCACGTCCACGACCACGTCCACGTCCACCTCCACATCCACGTCCACGACCACGTCCACGTCCACGTCCACGTCCACGTCCACCTCCACATCTTCGTCCACGACCACGTCCACGTCCACGTCCACGTCCACGTCCACCTCCACGTCCACGTCCACGACCATGTCCACATCAACATCCTCCACGTACATGTCGACGTCCACGTCATCGTCCACGTCCACGTCCATGTCCACGTCCACGTCCACGACCACGTCGACGTCCACGTCCACGTTCACCTCGAGGTCCACGTCCACATCCACGTCCACGTCCACGTCCACGTCCACTTCCACGACCACGTCCACGTCCACGTCCACGTCCAGGTCCACGTCCAAGTCCTCGTCCATGTCCACATCCACGTCCAAGTCCACGTCCACGTCCACGTCCACGTCCACTTCCACGACCACGTCCACGTCCACGTCCACGTCCAGGTCCACGTCCAAGTCCTCGTCCACGTCCACATCCACGTCCAAGTCCACGTCCATGTCCACGTCAACATCCACTTCCACGACCACGTCCACGTCCACGTCCACGTCCAGGTCCACGTCCACGTCCACGTCCACGTCCAGGTCCACGTCCACGTCCACGTCCACGTCCACGACCACGTCCTTGTCCACGTCCACGTCCACGTCCAAGTCCACGTCCACGTCCACGTCCAAGTCCACGTCCACGTCCACGTCCACGACCATCTCCACGTCCACGTCTACGTCCACGTCCACGACCACGTCCACGTCCACGTCCACGTCCACCTCCACGTCCACGTCCACGACCACGTCCTCGTCCACGTTGACGACCATCTCCACGTCCACGTCTACGTCCACGTCCACGTCCATGTCCAAGTCCACGTCCACGTCCAGGTCCACGTTCACGTCCACGTCCACGTCCACTCCACGTCCACGTCCACGTCCTCGTCCACGTCAACGTCCACGTCCACGTCCACGACCACGTCCACGTCCACGTCGACGACCACGTCCACGTCCACGTCCACGTCCACCTCCACGACCACGTCCACATCCACATCCACGTCCACGACCATGTCCACGTCCACGTCCACGTCCACCTCCACGTCCATGTCCACGTCCACGTCCACGCCCGCGTCCACGTCCACGGCCACCTCCAAGACCATGTCCACATCCACGTCCAAGTCCACGTCCACGTCCACGTCCATGACCACGTCCACGTCCACGTCCAGGACCACGTCCACATCCACGTCCACGTCCACGTCCATGACCACGTCCACATCCACGTCCACGTCCACCTCCACGTCCACGTCCACGTCCACGACCACGTCCACGTCCACGTCCACGTCCACGTCCACGACCACGTCCTCGTCCACGTCCACGACCATCTCCACGTCCACGTCCACGTCCACGTCCACGTCCACGTCCACGTCCAAGTCCACGTCCACGTCCAGGTCCACGTTCACGTCCACGTCCACGTCCACTCCACGTCCACGTCCACGTCCTCGTCCACGTCAACGTCCACGTCCAGGTCCACTCCACGTCCACGTCCACGTCCACTCCACCTCCACGTCCACGTCCCCGTCCACGTCAACGTCCACGTCCACGTCCACAACCACGTCCACGTCCACGTCCACGTCCACGTCTACGACCACGTCCACGTCCACGTCCATGTCCACGACCACGTCCACGTCCACGTCCACGTCCAAGTCCACGTCCAAGTCCACGTCCACGACCACGTCCACGTCCACGTCCACGTCCAAGTCCACGTCCAAGTCCACGTCCACGACCACGTCCACGTCCACGTCCACGTCCAAGTCCACGTCCAAGTCCACATCCACGTCCACGTCCTCATCCACGACCACGTCCAGGTCCACGTCCACGTCCACTTCAACGTCCACGACCACCTCCACGACCACGTCCACGTCCACGTCCACGTCCACCTCCACGTCCACGTCCATGTCCACGTCCACGTCCACGTCCACGACCACGTCCATGTCCACGTTCACGTCCACCTCCACGTCCACGTCTACGTCCACGTCCACGTCCACGACCACGTCCACTTCCACGTCCACGTCCACGTTCACGTCCACCTCCACGTCCACGTCTACGTCCACGTCCACGTCCACGACCACGTCCACGTCCACGTCCACGTCCACGTCCACATCCATGTCCAAGTCCTCCACGTCCTTCACGTCCACGTCCACGTCCACGACCACATCCACGTCCACGTCCACGTCCTCCACGTCCACGTCCACGTCCTCGTCCACGTCAACGTCCACGTCCACGTCCACGACCACGTCCACGTCCGCGTCCACGTCCAGGTCCACGTCCACGTCCACGTCCACGTCTATGTCCACGTCCACCTCCACGTCCACGTCTACGTCCACGTCCACCTCCACGACCACGTCCACGTCCACGTCCACGTCCAAGTCCAGGTCCCCGTCCAAGTCCACGTCCACATCCCCGTCCACGACCACGTCCACGTCCACGTCCACGACCACGTCCACGTCCACGTCCACGTCCATCTCCACGTCCACATCCACGACCACGTCCACGACCACGTCCACGTCCACCTCCACGTCCACGTCCACGACCACGTCCACGTCCACGTCCACATCCACCTCCACATCCACGTCCACGACAACGTCCACGTCCACGTCCACGTCCACGTCCACGACCATTTCCACATCAACATCCTCCACGTCCACGTCGACGTCCACGTCATCGTCCACGTCCACGTCCATGTCCACGTCCACGTCCACGACCACGTCGACGTCCACGTCCACATTCACGTCAAGGTCCACGTCCACGTCCACGTCCACGTCCACTTCCACGACCACGTCCACGTCCACGTCCACGTCCACGTCCAGGTCCACGTCCAAGTCCTCGTCCACGTCCACATCCACGTCCAAGTCCAAGTCCACGTCCACGTCCACGTCCACGTCCACTTCCACGACCACGTCCACGTCCACGTCCAGGTCCACGTCCAAGTCCTCGTCCACGTCCACATCCACGTCCAAGTCCACGTCCACGTCCATGTCCACTTCTACGACCACGTCCACGTCCACGTCCAGGTCCACGTCCACGTCCATGTCCACGTCCACGTCCACGTCCACGTCCACATCCAAGTCCACGTCCACTTCCACGTCCACGACCATCTCCACGTCCACGTCTACGTCCACGTCCACGACCACGTCCACGTCCACGTCCATGTCCACCTCCACGTCCACGTCCACGACCACGTCCTCATCCACGTCCACGACCATCTCCACATCCACGTCTACGTCCACGTCCACGTCCATGTCCAAGTCCACGTCCACGTCCAGGTCCACGTTCACGTCCACGTCCACGTCCACTCCACGTCCACGTCCACGTCCTCGTCCACGTCAACGTCCACATCCACGTCCACGACCACGTCCATGTCCACGTCAACGACCACGTCCACGTCAACGACCACGTCCACGTCAACGACCACGTCCACGTCCACGACCACGTCCACGTCCACGTCCACGTCCACGTCCACCTCCACGTCCATGTCCACGTCCACGTCCGCGTCCACGTCCACGTCCACGTCCGCGTCCACGTCCACGTCCGCGTCCACGTCCACGTCCACCTCCACGACCATGTCCACGTCCACGTCCAAGTCCACGTCCACGTCCACGTCCACGTCCACGTCCACGTCCAAGTCCTCCACGTCCTCCACGTCCACGTCCACGTCCACATCCACGACCACATCCACGTCCACGTCCACGTCCTCCACGTCCACGTCCACGTCCTCGTCCACGTCAACATCCACGTCCACGTCCACGACCACGTCCACGTCCACGTCCACGTCCAGGTCCACGTCCACATCCACGTCCACGTCCACGTCCACATCCAAGTCCACGTCCACTTCCACGTCCACGACCATCTCCACGTCCACGTCTACGTCCACGTCCACGACCACGTCCACGTCCACGTCCACGTCCACGTCCACCTCCACGTCCACGTCCACGACCACGTCCTCATCCACGTCCACGACCATCTCCACATCCACGTCTACGTCCACGTCCACGTCCATGTCCAAGTCCACGTCCACGTCCAGGTCCACGTTCACGTCCACGTCCACGTCCACTCCACGTCCACGTCCACGTCCTCGTCCACGTCAACGTCCACATCCACGTCCACGACCACGTCCATGTCCACGTCAACGACCACGTCCACGTCAACGACCACGTCCACGTCAACGACCACGTCCACGTCCACGACCACGTCCACGTCCACGTCCACGTCCACGTCCACCTCCACGTCCATGTCCACGTCCACGTCCGCGACCACGTCCACGTCCGCGTCCACGTCCACGTCCACCTCCACGACCATGTCCACGTCCACGTCCAAGTCCACGTCCACGTCCACGTCCACGTCCACGTCCAAGTCCTCCACGTCCTCCACGTCCACGTCCACGTCCACGTCCACGACCACATCCACGTCCACGTCCACGTCCTCCACGTCCACGTCCACGTCCTCGTCCACGTCAACATCCACGTCCACGTCCACGACCACGTCCACGTCCACGTCCAGGTCCACGTCCACGTCCACGTTCACGTCCACGTCCACCTCCACGACCAGGTCCACGTCCACATCCACCTCCACGTCCACGTCCACGTCCAAGTCCACGTCCACGTCCACGTCCACGTCCAAGTCCACGTCCACGTCCACGTCCACGTCCAAGTCCAAGTCCACGTCCACGTCCACGACCACGTCCACGTCCACGTCCACGTCCACGTCCACGACCACGTCCACGTCCACGTCCACGTCCACGTCCACGACCACGTCCACCTCCACGTCCTCGTCCACCTCCACGTCCACGTCCACGGCCACGTCCTCATCCACGTCCACGACCACGTCCACGTCCACGTCCACGACCACGTCCAGGTCCACGTCTACGTCCAAGTCGACGTCCACGTCCACGAACACGTCCACGTCCACGTCCACGTCCACGACCACGTCCTCGTCCACCTCCACGACCATCTCCACGTCCACGTCTACGTCATCGTCTACGTCCACGTCCACGTCCACGTCCAAGTCCACGTCCACGTCCAGGTCCACGTTCACGTCCACGTCCACGTCCACGTCCACTCCACTTCCACGTCCACGACCTCGTCCACGTCAACGTCTACGTCAAGGTCCACTCCACGTCCACGTCCACGTCCACATCCACGACCACGTCCTCGTCCACGTCCATGACCATCTCCACGTCCACGTCTACGTCCACGTCTACGTCCACGTCCACGTCCACGTCCAAGTCCACGTCCACATCCACGTCCAGGTCCACGTTCACGTCCACGTCCACGTCCACTCCACGTCCACGTCCACGTCCTCGTCCACGTCAACGTCCACTTCCAGGTCCACTCCACGTCCACGTCCACGTCCACCTCCACGACCACGTCCACGTCCACGTCGACGTCCACGTCCAAGTCCACGTCCAAGTCCACGTCCACGTCGACGTCAAGGTCAACGTCCACGTCCACGTCCACGTCCAAGTCCACGTCCACGTCCATGTCCACGACCACGTCCACGTCTACGTCCACGTCCACGTCCCAACCACGTCCACGTCCACGTCCTCGTCCATCTCCACGTCCACGTCCACGACCACGTCCTTGTCCACGTCCACAACCACGTCCACGTCCACGTCCACGTCCACGACCACGTCCACGTCCACGTCGACGTCCAAGTCCACGTCCACGTCCACGACCACGTCTACGTCCACGTCCACGTCCACGACCACGTCCTCGTCCACGTCCACGACCATCTCCACGTCCACGTCTACGTCCACGTCCACGTCCAAGTCCACGTCCACGTCCAGGTCCACGTTCACGTCCACGTCCACGACCACTCCATGTCCACGTCCACGTCCTCGTCCACGTCAACGTCCACGTCCAGGTCCACTCCACGTCCACGTCCACGTCCACGTCCACTCCACATCCACGTCCACGTCCTCGTCCACGTCAACATCCACCTCCACATCAACAACCACGTCCACGTCCACGTCCACGTCCACCTCTACGACCACGTCCACGTCCACGTCCATGTCCACGACCATGTCCATGTCCACGTCCACGTCCAAGTCCACGTCCAAGTCCACATCCACGTCCACGTCCACATCCACGACCACGTCCAGGTCCACGTCCACGTCCATGTCCACGTCCACGACCACCTCCACGACCACGTCCACGTCTACGAACACCTCAACGTCCACGTCCACGACCACGTCCACGTCCACGACCACGTCCACGTCCACGTCCACGTCCACGTCTACGTCCACGTCCACGTCCACGTCCACCACCACGTCCACGTCCACGTCTACGTCCACGTCCAGGTCCACGTCCACGTCCACGTCTACGTTCACGTCCACCTCCACGACCACGTCCACGTCCACGTCCACGTCCAAGTCCAGGTCCACGTCCAATTCCACGTCCACATCCCCGTCCACGACCACGTCCACGTCCACGTCCACGTCCACGTCCACGACCACCTCCACGTCCACATCCACGTCCACGTCCACCTCCACGTCCACATCCACAACCACGTCCACGACCACGTCCACGTCCACCTCCACGTCCACATCCACAACCACGTCCACGTCCACGTCCACGTCCACCTCCACATCCACGTCCACGACCACGTCCACGTCCACGTCCACGTCCACCTCCACGTCCACGTCCACGACCATGTCCACATCAACATCCTCCACGTCCATGTCGACGTCCACGTCATCGTCCACGTCCACGTCCATGTCCACGTCCACGTCCACGACCACGTCGACGTCCACGTCCACGTTCACGTCGAGGTCCAAGTCCACATCCACGTCCACGTCCACGTCCACTTCCACGACCACGTCCACGTCCACGTCCACGTCCAGGTCCACGTCCAAGACCTCGTCCACGTCCACATCCACGTCCAAGTCCACGTCCACGTCCACGTCCACTTCCACGACCACGTCCACGTCCACGTCCACGTCCAGGTCCACGTCCAAGTCCTCGTCCACGTCCACATCCACGTCCAAGTCCACGTCCACGTCCACGTCAACATCCACTTCCACGACCACGTCCACGTCCACGTCCATGTCCAGGTCCACGTCCAAGTCCTCGTCCACGTCCACGTCCAAGTCCACGTCCACGTCCACGTCCACGTCCACGTCCAAGTCCACGTCCACGTCCACGTCCACGACCATCTCCACGTCCACGTCTACGTCCACGTCCACGACCACGTCCACGTCCACGTCCACCTCCACCTCCACGTCCAAGTCCACGTCCACGTCCACGTCCACGACCATCTCCACGTCCACGTCTACGTCCACGTCCACGACCACGTCCACGTCCACGTCCACCTCCACCTCCACGTCCACGACCACGTCCTCGTCCACGTCGACGACCATCTCCACGTTAACGTCTACATCCACGTCCACGTCCATGTCCAAGTCCACGTCCACGTCCAGGTCCACGTTCACGTCCACGTCCACGTCCACTCCACGTCCACGTCCACGTCCTCGTCCACGTCAACATCCACGTCCACGTCCACGACCACGTCCACGTCCACGTCGACGACCATGTCCACGTCCACGTCCACGTCCACGTCCACCTCCACGACCACGTCCACATCCACATCCACGTCCACGACCACGTCCACGTCCACGTCCACCTCCACGTCCATTTCCACGTCCACGTCCACGTCCGCGTCCACGTCCACGTCCACCTCCAAGACCATGTCCACATCCACGTCCAAGTCCACGTCCATGACCACGTCCACGTCCACGTCCATGACCACGTCCACATCCACGTCCACGTCCACGTCCATGACCACGTCCACGTCCACGTCCACGTCCACCTCCACGTCCACGTCCACGTCCACGACCACGTCCACGTCCACGTCCACGTCCAAGTCGACGTCCACGTCCACGACCACGTCCACGTCCACGTCCACGTCCACGACCACGTCCTCGTCCACCTCCACGACCATCTCCACGTCCACGTCTACGTCCACGTCTACGTCCACGTCCACGTCCACGTCCAAGTCCACGTCCACGTCCAGGTCCACGTTCACGTCCACGTCCACGTCCACGTCCACTCCACTTCCACGTCCACGTCCTCGTCCACGTCAACGTCTACGTCGAGGTCCACTCCACGTCCACGTCCACGTCCACGTCCACGTCCACGACCACGTCCTCGTCCACGTCCATGACCATCTCTACGTCCACGTCTACGTCCACGTCTACGTCCACGTCCACGTCCACGTCTACGTCCAAGTCCACGTCCACATCCACGTCCAGGTCCACGTTCACGTCCACGTCCACATCCACTCCACGTCCACGTCCACGTCCTCGTCCACGTCAACGTCCACTTCCAGGTCCACTCCACGTCCACGTCCACGTCCACGTCCACCTCCACGACCACGTCCACGTCCACGTCCACGTCCACGTCCAAGTCCACGTCCAAGTCCACGTCCACGTCGACGTCAAGGTCCACGTCCACGTCCACGTCCACGTCCAAGTCCACGTCCACGTCCACGACCACGTCCACGTCTACGTCCACGTCCACGTCCCAACCACGTCCACGTCCACGTCCTCGTCCATCTCCACGTCCACGTCCACGACCACGTCCTTGTCCACGTCCACAACCACGTCCACGTCCACGTCCACGTCCACGACCACGTCCACGTCCACGTCCACGTCCACGTCCAAGTCCACGTCCACGTCCACGACCACGTCTACGTCCACGTCCACGTCCACGACCACGTCCTCGTCCACGTCCACGACCATCTCCACGTCCACGTCTACGTCCACGTCCACGTCCAAGTCCACGTCCACGTCCAGGTCCACGTTCACGTCCACGTCCACGTCCACTCCACGTCCACGTCCACGTCCTCGTCCACGTCAACGTCCACGTCCAGGTCCACTCCAAGTCCACGTCCACGTCCACTCCACATCCACGTCCACGTCCTCGTCCACATCAACGTCCACGTCCACGTCAACAACCACGTCCACGTCCACGTCCACGTCCACCTCTACGACCACGTCCACGTCCACGTCCATGTCCACGACCACGTCCATGTCCACGTCCACGTCCAAGTCCACGTCCAAGTCCACATCCACGTCCACGTCCACATCCACGACCACGTCCAGGTCCACGTCCACGTCCATGTCCACGTCCACGACCACCTCCACGACCACGTCCACGTCCACGTCCACCTCAACGTCCACGTCCACGACCACGTCCACGTCCACGACCACGTCCACGTCCACGTCCACGTCCACGTCTACGTCCACGTCCACGTCCACCACCACGTCCACGTCCACGTCTACGTCCACGTCCAGGTCCACGTCCACGTCCACGTCCACGTCTACGTTCACGTCCACCTCCACGACCACGTCTACGTCCACGTCCACCTCCACGACCACGTCCACGTCCAATTCCACGTCCACATCCCCGTCGACGACCACGTCCACGTCCACGTCCACGTCCACGACCACCTCCACGTCCACGTCCACGTCCACGTCCACCTCCACGTCCACATCCACGACCACGTCCACGACCACGTCCACGTCCACCTCCACGTCCACATCCACGACCAGGTCCACGTTCACGTCCACGTCCACGTCCACTCCACGTCCACGTCCACGTCCTCGTCCACGTCAACGTCCACTTCCAGGTCCACTCCACGTCCACGTCCACGTCCACGTCCACCTCCACGACCACGTCCACGTCCACGTCCACGTCCACGTCCACGTCCAAGTCCTCCACGTCCTCCACGTCCACGTCCACGTCCACGTCCACGACCACATCCACGTCCACGTCCACGTCCTCCACGTCCACGTCCACGTCCTCGTCCACGTCAACATCCACGTCCACGTCCACGACCACGTCCACGTCCACGTCCACGTCCAGGTCCACGTCCACGTCCACGTCCACGTCCACGTCCACGTTCACGTCCACGTCCACCTCCACGACCAGGTCCACGTCCACATCCACCTCCACGTCCACGTCCACGTCCAAGTCCACGTCCACGTCCACGTCCACGTCCACGTCCACGTCCACGTCCACGTCCACGTCCACGTCCACGTCCACGTCCAAGTCCAAGTCCACGTCCACGTCCACGACCACGTCCACGTCCACGTCCACGTCCACGTCCACGACCACGTCCACGTCCACGTCCACGTCCACGTCCACGACCACGTCCACCTCCACGTCCTCGTCCACCTCCACGTCCACGTCCACGGCCACGTCCTCGTCCACGTCCACGACCACGTCCACGTCCACGTCCACGTCCACGACCACGTCCACGTCCACGTCCACGTCCAAGTCGACGTCCACGTCCACGACCACGTCCACGTCCACGTCCACGTCCACGACCACGTCCTCGTCCACCTCCACGACCATCTCCACGTCCACGTCTACGTCCACGTCTACGTCCACGTCCACGTCCACGTCCAAGTCCACGTCCACGTCCAGGTCCACGTTCACGTCCACGTCCACGTCCACGTCCACTCCACTTCCACGTCCACGTCCTCGTCCACGTCAACGTCTACGTCGAGGTCCACTCCACGTCCACGTCCACGTCCACGTCCACGACCACGTCCTCGTCCACGTCCATGACCATCTCCACGTCCACGTCTACGTCCACGTCTACGTCCACGTCCACGTCCACGTCCAAGTCCACGTCCACATCCACGTCCAGGTCCACGTTCACGTCCAGGTCCACGTCCACTCCACGTCCACGTCCACGTCCTCGTCCACGTCAACGTCCACTTCCAGGTCCACTCCACGTCCACGTCCACGTCCACGTCCACCTCCACGACCACGTCCACGTCCACGTCGACGTCCACGTCCAAGTCCACGTCCAAGTCCACGTCCACGTCGACGTCAAGGTCAACGTCCACGTCCACGTCCACGTCCAAGTCCACGTCCACGTCCATGTCCACGACCACGTCCACGTCTACGTCCACGTCCACGTCCCAACCACGTCCACGTCCACGTCCTCGTCCATCTCCACGTCCACGTCCACGACAACGTCCTTGTCCACGTCCACGTCCACGTCCACGTCCACGTCCACGACCACGTCCACGTCCACGTCCACGTCCAAGTCCACGTCCACGTCCACGTCCACCTCCACGACCACGTCCACGTCCACGTCCACGTCCACGACCACGTCCACGTCCACGTCCACCTCCACGTCCATGTCCACGTCCACGTCCACGTCCGCGTCCACGTCCACGTCCACCTCCAAGACCATGTCCACATCCACGTCCAAGTCCACGTCCATGACCACGTCCACGTCCATGACCACGTCCACATCCACGTCCACGTCCACGTCCATGACCACGTCCACGTCCACGTCCACGTCCACCTCCACGTCCACGTCCACGTCCACGACCACGTCCACGTCCACGTCCACGTCCAAGTCGACGTCCACGTCCACGACCACGTCCACGTCCACGTCCACGTCCACGACCACGTCCTCGTCCACCTCCACGACCATCTCCACGTCCACGTCTACGTCCACGTCTACGTCCACGTCCACGTCCACGTCCAAGTCCACGTCCACGTCCAGGTCCACGTTCACGTCCACGTCCACGTCCACGTCCCCTCCACTTCCACGTCCACGTCCTCGTCCACGTCAACGTCTACGTCGAGGTCCACTCCACGTCCACGTCCACGTCCACGTCCACGTCCACGACCACGTCCTCGTCCACGTCCATGACCATCTCCACGTCCACGTCTACGTCCACGTCTACGTCCACGTCCACGTCCACGTCCACGTCCAAGTCCACGTCCACATCCACGTCCAGGTCCACGTTCACGTCCACGTCCACATCCACTCCACGTCCACGTCCACGTCCTCGTCCACGTCAACGTCCACTTCCAGGTCCACTCCACGTCCACGTCCACGTCCACGTCCACCTCCACGACCACGTCCACGTCCACGTCCACGTCCAAGTCCACGTCCAAGTCCACGTCCACGTCGACGTCAAGGTCCACGTCCACGTCCACGTCCACGTCCAAGTCCACGTCCACGTCCACGACCACGTCCACGTCTACGTCCACGTCCACGTCCCAACCACGTCCACGTCCACGTCCTCGTCCATCTCCACGTCCACGTCCACGACCACGTCCTTGTCCACGTCCACAACCACGTCCACGTCCACGTCCACGTCCACGACCACGTCCACGTCCACGTCCACGTCCACGTCCAAGTCCACGTCCACGTCCACGACCACGTCTACGTCCACGTCCACGTCCACGACCACGTCCTCGTCCACGTCCACGACCATCTCCACGTCCACGTCTACGTCCACGTCCACGTCCAAGTCCACGTCCACGTCCAGGTCCACGTTCACGTCCACGTCCACGTCCACTCCACGTCCACGTCCACGTCCTCGTCCACGTCAACGTCCACGTCCAGGTCCACTCCACGTCCACGTCCACGTCCACTCCACATCCACGTCCACGTCCTCGTCCACATCAACGTCCACGTCCACGTCAACAACCACGTCCACGTCCACGTCCACGTCCACGTCCACCTCTACGACCACGTCCACGTCCACGTCCATGTCCACGACCACGTCCATGTCCACGTCCACGTCCAAGTCCACGTCCAAGTCCACATCCACGTCCACGTCCACATCCACGACCACGTCCAGGTCCACGTCCACGTCCATGTCCACGTCCACGACCACCTCCACGACCACGTCCACGTCCACGTCCACCTCAACGTCCACGTCCACGACCACGTCCACGTCCACGACCACGTCCACGTCCACGTCCACGTCCACGTCTACGTCCACGTCCACGTCCACCACCACGTCCACGTCCACGTCTACGTCCACGTCCAGGTCCACGTCCACGTCCACGTCCACGTCTACGTTCACGTCCACCTCCACGACCACGTCTACGTCCACGTCCACCTCCACGACCACGTCCACGTCCAATTCCACGTCCACATCCCCGTCCACGACCACGTCCACGTCCACGTCCACGTCCACGACCACCTCCACGTCCACGTCCACGTCCACGTCCACCTCCACGTCCACATCCACGACCACGTCCACGACCACGTCCACGTCCACCTCCACGTCCACATCCACGACCAGGTCCACGTTCACGTCCACGTCCACGTCCACTCCACGTCCACGTCCACGTCCTCGTCCACGTCAACGTCCACTTCCAGGTCCACTCCACGTCCACGTCCACGTCCACGTCCACCTCCACGACCACGTCCACGTCCACGTCCACGTCCACGTCCACGTCCAAGTCCTCCACGTCCTCCACGTCCACGTCCACGTCCACGTCCACGTCCACGACCACATCCACGTCCACGTCCACGTCCTCCACGTCCACGTCCACGTCCTCGTCCACGTCAACATCCACGTCCACGTCCACGACCACGTCCACGTCCACGTCCACGTCCAGGTCCACGTCCACGTCCACGTCCACGTCCACGTTCACGTCCACGTCCACCTCCACGACCAGGTCCACGTCCACATCCACCTCCACGTCCACGTCCACGTCCAAGTCCACGTCCACGTCCACGTCCAAGTCCACGTCCACGTCCACGTCCACGTCCACGTCCAAGTCCAAGTCCACGTCCACGTCCACGACCACGTCCACGTCCACGTCCACGTCCACGTCCACGACCACGTCCACGTCCACGTCCACGTCCACGTCCACGTCCACGACCACGTCCACCTCCACGTCCTCGTCCACCTCCACGTCCACGTCCACGGCCACGTCCTCGTCCACGTCCACGACCACGTCCACGTCCACGTCCACGTCCACGACCACGTCCACGTCCACGTCCACGTCCAAGTCGACGTCCACGTCCACGACCACGTCCACGTCCACGTCCACGTCCACGACCACGTCCTCGTCCACCTCCACGACCATCTCCACGTCCACGTCTACGTCCACGTCTACGTCCACGTCCACGTCCACGTCCAAGTCCACGTCCACGTCCAGGTCCACGTTCACGTCCACGTCCACGTCCACGTCCACTCCACTTCCACGTCCACGTCCTCGTCCACGTCAACGTCTACGCCGAGGTCCACTCCACGTCCACGTCCACGTCCACGTCCACGACCACGTCCTCGTCCACGTCCATGACCATCTCCACGTCCACGTCTACGTCCACGTCTACGTCCACGTCCACGTCCATGTCCAAGTCCACGTCCACATCCACGTCCAGGTCCACGTTCACGTCCACGTCCACGTCCACTCCACGTCCACGTCTACGTCCTCGTCCACGTCAACGTCCACTTCCAGGTCCACTCCACGTCCACGTCCACATCCACGTCCACCTCCACGACCACGTCCACGTCCACGTCGACGTCCACGTCCAAGTCCACGTCCAAGTCCACGTCCACGTCGACGTCAAGGTCAATGTCCACGTCCACGTCCACGTCCAAGTCCACGTCCACGTCCACGTCCACGACCACGTCCACGTCTACGTCCACGTCCACGTCCCAACCACGTCCACGTCCACGTCCTCGTCCATCTCCACGTCCACGTCCACGACAACGTCCTTGTCCACGTCCACAACCACGTCCACGTCCACGTCCACGACCACGTCCACGTCCACGTCCACGTCCAAGTCCACGTCCACGTCCACGACCACGTCTACGTCCACGTCCACGTCCACGACCACGTCCTCGTCCACGTCCACGACCATCTCCACGTCCACGTCTACGTCCACGTCCACGTCCAAGTCCACGTCCATGTCCAGGTCCACGTTCACGTCCACGTCCACGTCCACTCCACGTCCACGTCCACGTCCTCGTCCACGTCAACGTCCACGTCCAGGTCCACTCCACGTCCACGTCCACGTCCACGTCCACTCCACATCCACGTCCACGTCCTCGTCCACGTCAACATCCACCTCCACGTCAACAACCACGTCCACGTCCACGTCCACGTCCACCTCTACGACCACGTCCACGTCCACGTCCATGTCCACGACCACGTCCATGTCCACGTCCACGTCCAAGTCCACGTCCAAGTCCACATCCACGTCCACGTCCACGTCCACGTCCACATCCACGACCACGTCCAGGTCCACGTCCACGTCCATGTCCACGTCCACGACCACCTCCACGACCACGTCCACGTCCACGAACACCTCAACGTCCACGTCCACGACCACGTCCACGTCCACGACCACGTCCACGTCCATGTCCACGTCCACGTCTACGTCCACGTCCACGTCCACGTCCACCACCACGTCCACGTCCACGTCTACGTCCACGTCCAGGTCCACGTCCACGTCCACGTCTACGTTCACGTCCACCTCCACGACCACGTCTACGTCCACGTCCACGTCCACGTCCACGTCCACGTCCACGTCCACGTCGACGTCAAGGTCCACGTCCACGTCCACGTCCACGTCCACGACCACGTCCACGTCTACGTCCACGTCCACGTCCCAACCACGTCCACGTCCACGTCCTCGTCCATCTCCACGTCCACGTCCACGACCACGTCCTTGTCCACGTCCACAACCACGTCCACGTCCACGTCCACGTCTACGACCACGTCCACGTCCACGTCCACGTCCACGTCCAAGTCCACGTCCACGTCCACGACCACGTCTACGTCCACGTCCACGTCCACGACCACGTCCTCGTCCACGTCCACGACCATCTCCACGTCCACGTCTACGTCCACGTCCACGTCCAAGTCCACGTCCACGTCCAGGTCCACGTTCACGTCCACGTCCACGTCCACTCCACGTCCACGTCCACGTCCTCGTCCACGTCAACGTCCACGTCCAGGTCCACTCCACGTCCACGTCCACGTCCACGTCCACTCCACATCCACGTCCACGTCCTCGTCCACATCAACGTCCACGTCCACGTCAACAACCACGTCCATGTCCACGTCCACGTCCACGTCCACCTCTACGACCACGTCCACGTCCACGTCCATGTCCACGACCACGTCCATGTCCACGTCCACGTCCAAGTCAACGTCCAAGTCCACATCCACGTCCACGTCCACATCCACGACCACGTCCAGGTCCACGTCCACGTCCATGTCCACGTCCACGACCACCTCCACGACCACGTCCACGTCCACGTCCACGTCCACCTCAACGTCCACGTCCACGACCACGTCCACGTCCACGACCACGTCCACGTCCACGTCCACGTCCACGTCTACGTCCACGTCCACGTCCACCACCACGTCCACGTCCACGTCTACGTCCACGTCCAGGTCCACGTCCACGTCCACGTCCACGTCTACGTTCACGTCCACCTCCACGACCACGTCTACGTCCACGTCCACCTCCACGACCACGTCCACGTCCAATTCCACGTCCACATCCCCGTCCACGACCACGTCCACGTCCACGTCCACGACCACCTCCACGTCCACGTCCACGTCCACGTCCACCTCCACGTCCACATCCACGACCACGTCCACGACCACGTCCACGTCCACCTCCACGTCCACATCCACGACCAGGTCCACGTTCACGTCCACGTCCACGTCCACTCCACGTCCACGTCCACGTCCTCGTCCACGTCAACGTCCACTTCCAGGTCCACTCCACGTCCACGTCCACGTCCACGTCCACCTCCACGACCACGTCCACGTCCACGTCCACGTCCACGTCCACGTCCAAGTCCTCCACGTCCTCCACGTTTACGTCCACGTCCACGTCCACGTCCACGATCACATCCACGTCCACGTCCACGTCCTCCATGTCCACGTCCACGTCCTCGTCCACGTCAACATCCACGTCCACGTCCACGACCACGTCCACATCCACGTCCACGTCCAGGTCCACGTCCACGTCCACGTCCACGTCCACGTTCACGTCCACGTCCACCTCCACGACCAGGTCCACGTCCACATCCACCTCCACGTCCACGTCCACGTCCAAGTCCACGTCCACGTCCACGTCCACGTCCAAGTCCACGTCCACGTCCACGTCCACGTCCACGTCCAAGTCCAAGTCCACGTCCACGTCCACGACCACGTCCACGTCCACGTCCACGTCCACGTCCACGACCACGTCCACGTCCACGTCCACGTCCACGTCCACGTCCACGACCACGTCCACCTCCACGTCCTCGTCCACCTCCACGTCCACGTCCACGGCCACGTCCTCGTCCACGTCCACGACCACGTCCACGTCCACGTCCACGTCCACGACCACGTCCACGTCCACGTCCACGTCCAAGTCGACGTCCACGTCCACGACCACGTCCACGTCCACGTCCACGTCCACGACCACGTCCTCGTCCACCTCCACGACCATCTCCACGTCCACGTCTACGTCCACGTCTACGTCCACGTCCACGTCCACGTCCAAGTCCACGTCCACGTCCAGGTCCACGTTCACGTCCACGTCCACGTCCACGTCCACTCCACTTCCACGTCCACGTCCTCGTCCACGTCAACGTCTACGTCGAGGTCCACTCCACGTCCACGTCCACGTCCACGTCCACGACCACGTCCTCGTCCACGTCCATGACCATCTCCACGTCCACGTCTACGTCCACGTCTACGTCCACGTCCACGTCCACGTCCAAGTCCACGTCCACATCCACGTCCAGGTCCACGTTCACGTCCACGTCCACGTCCACTCCACGTCCACGTCCACGTCCTCGTCCACGTCAACGTCCACTTCCAGGTCCACGAACACCTCAACGTCCACGTCCACGTCCACGTCCACCTCCACGACCACGTCCACGTCCACGTCGACGTCCACGTCCAAGTCCACGTCCAAGTCCACGTCCACGTCGACGTCAAGGTCAACGTCCACGTCCACGTCCACGTCCAAGTCCACGTCCACGTCCACGTCCACGACCACGTCCACGTCTACGTCCACGTCCACGTCCCAACCACGTCCACGTCCACGTCCTCGTCCATCTCCACGTCCACGTCCACGACAACGTCCTTGTCCACGTCCACAACCACGTCCACGTCCACGTCCACAACCACGTCCACGTCCACGTCCACGACCACGTCTACGTCCACGTCCACGTCCACGACCACGTCCTCGTCCACGTCCACGACCATCTCCACGTCCACGTCTATGTCCACGTCCACGTCCAAGTCCACGTCCATGTCCAGGTCCACGTTCACGTCCACGTCCACGTCCACTCCACGTCCACGTCCACGTCCTCGTCCACGTCAACGTCCACGTCCAGGTCCACTCCACGTCCACGTCCACGTCCACGTCCACTCCACATCCACGTCCACGTCCTCGTCCACGTCAACATCCACCTCCACGTCAACAACCACGTCCACGTCCACGTCCACGTCCACCTCTACGACCACGTCCACGTCCACGTCCATGTCCACGACCACGTCCATGTCCACGTCCACGTCCAAGTCCACGTCCAAGTCCACATCCACGTCCACGTCCACATCCACGACCACGTCCAGGTCCACGTCCACGTCCATGTCCACGTCCACGACCACCTCCACGACCACGTCCACGTCCACGAACACCTCAACGTCCACGTCCACGACCACGTCCACGTCCACGACCACGTCCACGTCCACGTCCACGTCCACGTCTACGTCCACGTCCACGTCCACGTCCACCACCACGTCCACGTCCACGTCTACGTCCACGTCCAGGTCCACGTCCACGTCCACGTCTACGTTCACGTCCACCTCCACGACCACGTCTACGTCCACGTCCACGTCCACGTCCACGACCACCTCCACGTCCACATCCACGTCCACGTCCACCTCCACGTCCACATCCACGACCACGTCCACGACCACGTCCACGTCCACCTCCACATCCACATCCACAACCACGTCCACGTCCACGTCCACCTCCACCTCCACATCCACGTCCACGACCACGTCCACGTCCACGTCCACGTCCACCTCCACGTCCACGTTCACGACCATGTCAACATCAACATCCTCCACGTCCATGTCGACGTCCACGTCATCGTCCACGTCCACGTCCATGTCCACGTCCACGTCCACGACCACGTCGACGTCCACGTCCACGTTCACGTCGAGGTCCACGTCCACATCCACGTCCACGTCCACGTCCACTTCCACGACCACGTCCACGTCCACGTCCACGTCCAGGTCCACGTCCAAGACCTCGTCCACGTCCACATCCACGTCCAAGTCCACGTCCACGTCCACGTCCACGTCCACTTCCACGACCACGTCCACGTCCACGTCCACGTCCAGGTCCACGTCCAAGTCCTCGTCCACGTCCACATCCACGTCCAAGTCCACGTCCACGTCCACGTCAACATCCACTTCCACGACCACGTCCACGTCCACGTCCACGTCCAGGTCCACGTCCAAGTCCTCGTCCACGTCCACGTCCACGTTCAAGTCCACGTCCACGTCCACGTCCACGTCCAAGTCCACGTCCACGTCCACGTCCACGACCATCTCCACGTCCACGTCTACGTCCACGTCCACGACCACGTCCACGTCCACGTCCACCTCCACCTCCACGTCCAAGTCCACGTCCACGTCCACGTCCACGACCATCTCCACGTCCACGTCTACGTCCACGACCACGTCCACGTCCACGTCCACGTCCACCTCCACCTCCACGTCCACGACCACGTCCTCGTCCACGTCGACGACCATCTCCACGTTAACGTCTACGTCCACGTCCACGTCCATGTCCAAGTCCACGTCCACGTCCAGGTCCACGTTCACGTCCACGTCCACGTCCACTCCACGTCCACGTCCACGTCCTCGTCCACGTCAACGTCCACGTCCACGTCCACGACCACGTCCACGTCCACGTCGACGACCACGTTCACGTCCACGTCCACGTCCACCTCCACGACCACGTCCACATCCACATCCACGTCCACGACCACGTCCACGTCCACGTCCACCTCCACGTCCATGTCCACGTCCACGTCCACGTCCGCGTCCACGTCCACGTCCACCTCCAAGACCATGTCCATGTCCACGTCCAAGTCCACGTCCATGACCACGTCCACGTCCACGTCCATGACCACGTCCACATCCACGTCCACGTCCACGTCCATGACCACGTCCACGTCCACGTCCATGACCACGTCCACATCCACGTCCACGTCCACGTCCACGACCACGTCCACGTCCACGTCCACGTCCACCTCCACGTCCACGTCCACGTCCACGACCACGTCCACGTCCACGTCCACGTCCACGTCCAAGTCGACGTCCACGTCCACAACCACGTCCACGTCCACGTCCACATCCACGTCCACGACCACGTCCTCGTCCACCTCCACGACCATCTCCACGTCCACGTCTACGTCCACGTCTACGTCCACGTCCACGTCCACGTCCAAGTCCACGTCCACGTCCAGGTCCACGTTCACGTCCACGTCCACGTCCACTCCACTTCCACGTCCACGTCCTCGTCCACGTCAACGTCTACGTCGAGGTCCACTCCACGTCCACGTCCACGTCCACGTCCACGTCCACGACCACGTCCTCGTCCACGTCCATGACCATCTCCACGTCCACGTCTACGTCCACGTCTAGGTCCACGTCCACGTCCACGTCCACGTCCAAGTCCACGTCCACATCCACGTCCAGGTCCACGTTCACGTCCACGTCCACGTCCACTCCACGTCCACGTCCACGTCCTCGTCCACGTCAACGTCCACTTCCAGGTCCACTCCACGTCCACGTCCACGTCCACGTCAACCTCCACGACCACGTCCACGTCCACGTCCACGTCCACGTCCAAGTCCACGTCCAAGTCCACGTCCACGTCGACGTCAAGGTCCACGTCCACGTCCACGTCCACGTCCAAGTCCACGTCCACGTCCACGACCACGTCCACGTCTACGTCCACGTCCCAACCACGTCCACGTCCACGTCCTCGTCCATCTCCACGTCCACGTCCACGACCACGTCCTTGTCCACGTCCACAACCACGTCCACGTCCACGTCCACGTCCACGACCACGTCCACGTCCACGTCCACGTCCAAGTCCACGTCCACGTCCACGACCACGTCTACGTCCACGTCCACGTCCACGACCACGTCCTCGTCCACGTCCACGACCATCTCCACGTCCACGTCTACGTCCACGTCCAGGTCCAAGTCCACGTCCACGTCCAGGTCCACGTTCACGTCCACGTCCACGTCCACTCCACGTCCACGTCCACGTCCTCGTCCACGTCAACGTCCACGTCCAGGTCCACTCCACGTCCACGTCCACGTCCACGTCCACTCCACATCCACGTCCACGTCCTCGTCCACGTCAACGTCCACGTCCACGTCAACAACCACGTCCACGTCCACGTCCACGTCCACCTCTACGACCACGTCCACGTCCACGTCCATGTCCACGACCACGTCCATGTCCACGTCCACGTCCAAGTCCACGTCCAAGTCCACATCCACGTCCACGTCCACATCCACGACCACGTCCAGGTCCACGTCCATGTCCACGTCCACGTCCACGTCCACGTCCACGTCCATGTCCACGACCACCTCCACGACCACGTCCACGTCCACGTCCACCTCAACGTCCACGTCCACGACCACTTCCACGTCCACGACCACGTCCACGTCCACGTCCACGTCCACGTCTACGTCCACGTCCACGTCCACGTCCACCACCACGTCCACGTCCACGTCTACGTCCACGTCCAGGTCCACGTCCACGTCCACGTCCACGTCTTCGTTCACGTCCACCTCCACGACCACGTCTACGTCCACGTCCACCTCCACGACCACGTCCACGTCCAATTCCACGTCCACATCCCCGTCCACGACCACGTCCACGTCCACGTCCACGTCCACGACCACCTCCACGTCCACGTCCACGTCCACGTCCACCTCCACGTCCACATCCACGACCACGTCCACGACCACGTCCACGTCCACCTCCACGTCCACATCCACATCCACGTCCACGTCCACGTCCACGTCCACGTCCACCTCCACATCCACGTCCACGACCACGTCCACGTCCACGTCCACGTCCACGTCCACCTCCACATCCACGTCCACGACCACGTCCACGTCCACGTCCACGTCCACCTCCACGTCCACGTCCACGACCATGTCCACATCAACATCCTCCACGTCCATGTCGACGTCCACGTCATCGTCCACGTCCACGTCCATGTCCACGTCCACGTCCATGACCACGTCGACGTCCACGTCCACGTTCACGTCGAGGTCCACGTCCACATCCACGTCCACGTCCACGTCCACTTCCACGACCACGTCCACGTCCACGTCCACGTCCAGGTCTACGTCCAAGACCTCGTCCACGTCCACATCCACGTCCAAGTCCACGTCCACGTCCACGTCCACTTCCACGACCACGTCCACGTCCACGTCCACGTCCAGGTCCACGTCCAAGTCCTCGTCCACGTCCACATCCACGTCCCAGTCCACGTCCACGTCCACGTCAACATCCACTTCCATGACCACGTCCACGTCCACGTCCACGTCCAGGTCCACGTCCAAGTCCTCGTCCACGTCCACGTCCACGTCCAAGTCCACGTCCACGTCCACGTCCAAGTACACGTCCACGTCCACGTCCACGACCATCTCCACGTCCACGTCTACGTCCACGTCCACGACCACGTCCACGTCCACGTCCACGTCCACCTCCACCTCCACGTCCACGACCACGTCCTCGTCCACGTCGACGACCATCTCCACGTCCACGTCTACGTCCACGTCCACGTCCATGTCCAAGTCCACGTCCACGTCCAGGTCCACGTTCACGTCCACGTCCACGTCCACTCCACGTCCACGTCCACGTCCTCGTCCACGTCAACGTCCACGTCCACGTCCACGACCACGTCCACGTCCACGTCGACGACCACGTCCACGTCCACGTCCACGTCCACCTCCACGACCATGTCCACATCCACATCCACGTCCACGACCACGTCCACGTCCACGTCCACGTCCACGTCCACCTTCACGTCCATGTCCACGTCCACGTCCACGTCCGCGTCCACGTCGACGTCCACCTCCAAGACCATGTCCACATCCACGTCCAAGTCCACGTCCACGTCCACGTCCATGACCACGTCCACGTCCACGTCCATGACCACGTCCACATCCACGTCCACGTCCACGTCCACGTCCACATCCATGACCACGTCCACGTCCACGTCCACGTCCACCTCCACGTCCACGTCCACGTCCACGACCACGTCCACGTCCACGTCCACGTCCACGTCCACGGCCACGTCGTCGTCCACGTCCACGACCAGATCCACGTCCACGTCCACGTCCACCTCCACGTCCACGTCCAAGTCCACGTCCACGTCCAGGTCCACGTTCACGTCCACGTCCACGTCCACTCCACGTCCACGTCCACGTCCTCGTCCACGTCAACGTCCACGTCCAGGTCCACTCCACGTCCACGTCCACGTCCACTCCACATCCACGTCCACGTCCTCGTCCACGTCAACGTCCACGTCCACGTCCACAACCACGTCCACGTCCACGTCCACGTCCACGACCACGTCCACGACCACGTCCACGTCCACGACCACGTCCACGTCCACGTCCACGTCCAAGTCCACGTCCAAGTCCACGTCCAAGTCCACGTCCACATCCACGACCACGTCCAGGTCCACGTCCACGTCCATGTCCACGTCCACGACCACCTCCACGACCACGTCCACGTCCATGTCCACGTCCACTTCAACGTCCACGTCCACTTCAACGTCCACGTCCACGTCCACGTCCACCTCCACGTCCACGTCCACGTCCACGACCACGTCCACGTCCACGTCCACGTCCACGTCCATGTCCACGTCCACGTCTACACGTCCACGTCCACGTCCACGTCCACGTCTACGTCCACGTCCACGTCCACGTCCACCTCCACGTCCACGTCCACGTCCACGTCCACCTCCACGACCACGTCCACGTCCACGTCCACGTCCTCTTCGTCCACGTCCACATCCACGACCACGTCCACGTCCACGTCCACGTCGAGTTCCACGTCCACGTCCAGGTCCACGTCCACGTCCACGTCCACATCCACGTCCACGTCCTCCACGTCCACGTCCACGTCCTCCACGTCCACGTCCACTTCCACGACCACGTCCACGTCCACGTCCACCTCCAGGTCCACATCCTCGTCCACGTCCACGTCCACGTCCACGTCCACGACCACGTCCACGTCCACGTCCACGTCCACGACCACGTCCACGTCCACGTCCAAGTCCACGTCTACGTCCACGTCCAAGTCCACGTCCACGTCCACGACCACGTCCACGTCCACGTCCACGTCCACGTCCACGTCCACATCCTCCACGTCCACGTCCATGTCATCCACGTCTACGTCCACGTCCACGACCAGGTCCACGTCCACGGCCACGTCCACGTCCACGTCCAAGTCCACGTCCATGTCCACGTCCTCCACGTCCACGTCCACATCCTCCACGTCCACGTCCACGCCCACTTCCACGACCACGTCGACGTCCACGTCCACGTCCACGTCCACGACCACGTCAACGTCCACGTCCATGTCCACGTCCACGTCCACGCCCACGTCCAAGTCCACGTCCAGGTCTAGGTCCACGTCCACGTCCACGGCCACCTCCACGTCCACGTCCACGTCCTCCACGTCCATGTCCACGTCCTCGTCCACGACCACGACCACGACCACGACCACGTCCACGACCACGTCCACGTCCAGGTCCACGTCCACGTCCACATCCACGTCCATGTCCACGTCCACGTCCACGTCCACGTCCACGTCCATGACCACGTCCACGTCCACAGACAGGTCCACGTCCACATCCACGTACACGTCCACGACCACGTCAACGTCCATGTCCACGTCCATGTCCACGTCCATGTCCACGTCCACGTCCACGTCCACGTCCACGTCCACGTCCACGACCACGTCCGCGTCCACGTCAACGCCCACGTCCGCGTCCACGTCAACGCCCACGTCCACGTCTAGGTCCAGGTCCACGTCCACGTCCACGTCCACGTCCACGGCCACATCCACGTCCACGTCCACGTCCTCCACGTCCATGTCCACGTCCTCGTCCACAACCACGACCACGACCACGTCCACGACCACGTCCACGTCCAAAAATATGTCCATGTCCACGTCCACGTCCACGTCCACGTCCACTGCCACGGCCGGTCGCCGCCGCCGCTGCCACTGCCGGGACAGTCGCCGCGGCCGTCCCGGCCCTATCCTGCAGCCAAGTCGCGGCCCTCCTCTGCCGCCCTATCGCGGCCCTATTCCTACTGGCGCACCTCGGCCCTGCCCCACCACTTGCGGGCTTCTACCCACCCGCCCCTGGTAAGCGCACCGCCGAGCCGCGCCCCTCCTGCTGCTGCTGCTGCTAACCTGCTTCTGTTGCTGCTGCTGCTAGCCTGTTGCTGCTGCTGTCATGGCTAGTCCCAATGTTCTTACCTTTGATGCTGAGGGTCGAGCGGTAGACTTTGAGGTCTGGGTCGATGATCTGCAGCTTTTCCTGCAGTCCGATCGCAAAGACGGTCTCTCACTGTTCGATCTCATGTCTGGCATCTCTACTGCCCCTGCTGCCAATGCTGACAGTACTGTTCGCTCACAGTGGACCACACGCGATGCTGCTGCCCGTCTTGCTGTGCGTAGTCAACTGCCGTCCTCTGAGCGCGCCCACTTTAGTCAGTACAAGAGTGCTAAGATCTTGTACGACGCTGTAGTAGCACGCTACTCTTCCCCTGCCACTGCTGCCCTTAGCCGCCTCATGTTGCTGTACCTGTTCCCTGACCTCGCCGCCTTTCCCCCAATCGCTGACCTCATTACGAACCTCCGCACTAGTGACAGCCGCTACCGCGCTGCGCTTCCTGCTGAGTTCTGCGCCAAGAACCCCCCCCCCCATGTACATCACCCTCTACTACCTAGTCACCCCGGCTCCCTGACTCCCTTCGCTCGGTCAGGGACCACTTCCACTCTGTTTGCCCCATCACACTCACCGTTGACCTCCTCGAGGAGCGCCTCCTTGCAGCTGAGAAGAGTATAGTCGCTGTCGGAGCCTCTCGTGGTGACCCTCGTGCCCCCTTCTTTGAGGGGTGCTCCCCCTCCCCCCTTTTGCCCTCTGTTGCCTCTACTGTTGCTGTCAACCTCGCTGGCACCGAGTCGGTCGGTGCTGCGTCTGTCCCTAGCGGGAGACGCTGCAACGGCAAGGGCAAAAGGGGCAAGGGCGCTGGAGCATTGGCGTCAGGGAACTGGAGACGCCAGGCGGCCGAAGCAGCGCTGGGTGGTGTGCGGGCCACCGCACGGCTCACCAGTGCGGTCGCCAGTACGCAGGACGTAGGCACAGGGACCAGCACCCCCACCCCGCTGACGCGCAGTGTACCACTCACGAAGCTGCTGGGGGGGCGAGGTCTCACGAGTGCGCTGCTGCTGCTGGCGCCGACCACCACCGAAGCCGCCCCGCTGCACAGAGCCACCCCGACCAGCTCCACCGCCGCCGCCGCCACCGCCGCCACCGCCGCCTCCTCCGCTCCAACCGCCACTGTCGCCGCCGCCTCCGCCTCCACCGCCGCCACCGAAGCCCCCACCCCCGCCACCACTCCCACCGCCACCCCCACCCCCTCCGTCGCCTCCACCGCCACCTCCACCGCCACCTCCACCGCCACCTCCACCGCCCCCGCCAGCTCCTCCAGCGCCCTTGCCCCGCTTGCCCTTGCCGTTGCGGCGTCTCCCGCTAGGGGCAGACGCAGCGCTGACCGACTCGGTGCCAACGAGGTCGACCGCAGCAGCAGAGGCAACAGAGGGCAAGAGGGGGGAGGGGGGGCACCCCTCAAAGAAGGGGGAACAAGGGTCACCACGAGAGGCTCCTACGGCGACTATACTCTTCTCAGCTGCCAGGAGGCGCTCCTCGAGGAGGTCAACGGTGAGTGTGGTGGGGCAAACAGAGAGGAAGTGGTCCTTCACCGAGTGAAGGGAGTCAGGGAGCCGGGTGACTAGGTAGTAGAGGGTGATGTACATGGGGGGGGGGGGGGGGGGTTCTTGGCGCAGAACTCAGCAGGAAGCGCAGCGCGGTAGCGGGTGTCACTAGTGTGAAGGTGCGTAATGAGGTCAGTGACTGTGGGAAAGGCGGCGAGGTCAGGGAACAGGTACGGCAGCATGAGGCGACTAAGGGCAGCAGTGGCAGGGGAAGAGTAATGTGCAACTACAGCGTTGTACAAGGTCTTAGCACTCTTGTACTGACTAAAGTGCACGCGCTCAGTGGACGGCAGGTGACTACGCACAGCAAGACGGGCAGCAGCATCGCGTGTGGCCCACTGTGAGCGAACAGTACTGTCAGCATCGGCAGCAGGGGCAGTAGAGATGCCAGACGTGAGATCGAGCAGTGAGAGACCGTCTTTGCGATCGGACTGCAGGAAAAGCTGCAGATCATCGACCCAGACCTCAAAGTCTATCGCTCGACCCTCAGCATCAAAGGTAAGAACATTGGGACTAGCCATGACACCAGCAGCAGCAGGCTAGCAGCAGCAGCAGCAGCAGAAGGGGCGCGGCTCGGCGGTGGTCTTACCAGGGGCGGGTGGGTAGAGGTCCGCAAGCGGTGGGGCAAGGCCGAGGTGCGCCGGCAGGAACAGGGCCGCGATAGGGCGGCAGAGGAGGTCCGCGCCTCGGCTGCAGGGTAGGGCCGGGACGGCGGCGGCGGCTGTCACGGTAGTGGCAGCGGCGGTTGTCTCAGCAGGAGTGGCGGCGGCTGGCACGGCAGCACCGGCGGCGGCTGTCACGGCAGTGGCAGCGGCGGTTGTCTCAGCAGGAGCGGCGCGGCGGCGACTGGCCGTGGAGGAAGCAGCAGCGGCAGCAGGCGCGACGGCAGCCGCTGCTGGGGCGGCGACGACGGGGCGGCAGGGCCGTGAAGAGCCGGGGAGGGGCCGCTAAGGGGCCGCGACGAGCCGCGAAGGGGCCGCGGAGGGGCCGTGAAGGAGCCGCGAAGGGCCGCGAAGGGCCGCGGAGGGGCCGCGAAGGGGCCGCGAAGGGCGGCGAAGGGGCCGAGAAGGGGCCGCGAGGGGCCGCGAAGGGGCCGCGAAGGGGCCGCAAAGGGGTCGCGAAGGGCCGTGAGAGGGGCCGCGAAGGGGCCTGAAGAGGGCGCGACGGGCCGCTAAGGGCAGGGGACGCGACGGGAGGGGAGGCGCACGGGGCGCGACTAGGGCAGACGCGAAGCGCGCTCCGGGCAGGTAAGGAAAAAAAAAATCGTTTTAGTGGTGGGCCTTAGGAAACGTTCCCACTAGGGAACTTGCTCTATACCATGTGAAATAACGAGGAATGGTGGAACTAAGAAAGTGTGTGATACAAATGTGAAACCCTATAAATCTGTACCCCTTAGTGTCTACCCCACTAGAGCCTACATTTTTTTTTGGGCTTTAAGGAGATCCCCGGAGGAAACCAACCCCCCGTAGGGAGAAGGCGCTGTCAGAATATTGTAGCTTATACATTTTGTGTAGGCTATAGTGGGGCATCCCATAGGGGGTACAACCCAATTAGGGTTAGTACTTGTACTCTCTTCTTTCATACTGCATTCATTCTCGTTCATATCTTCTCATGGTATCGAGCAGGTTCCCTAGTGGGAACTGTGCCTAGGGCCCACCAATTCTAACATTTTTTTTACTGCCCGGAGCGCGCTCTCCCCGAGTCGCGCTCCCTTCACTTACTTCTTCGAGTCGCCCTTGCGACTCCCCTTCGCCCTTCGCAGCGGCCCCGTCGACCCGCGCGCGGCTCCCCGTCGCTCTTCGCGGCGGCCCCGTCGACCCGCGCACCGCCCCCGAGGACCCGTGCGCCCGTCCCCGTCGACCCGCGCGTCGCCCTGCGGCCCCCCCTTCCCGCCCACCTGAGTTCACTTTCCGCACACCCGAGTTCGCTTCCCGCAGGCTTGTGCACGCTTCGCACACACCTGAGCGCGCTTACCGCACACTTAGGGTGTGGGGGTGGTGGTTGTGCGGGTGTCCGTCGCCCTACCTACGCGTCGGCCCCGTCGCCCTGCCTACGCGTCGGCCCCGTTGCCCTACCTGCGACCCCGGCCCCGTCGCCCTACCTGCGCCCCGGCCCCGTCGCCCTACCTGCGGCCCCGGCCCCGTCGCCCTACCTGCGACCCCGGCCCCGTCACCCTACCTGCGACCCCGGCCCCGTCACCCTACCTGCGGCCCTGGCCCCGTCGCCCTACCCGCGACCCCGGCCCCGTTGCCCTACCTGCGGCTCCGGCCCCGGCCCCGTCGCCCTCCCTGCGCACCGGCCCCGTTGCCCTACCGTCGACCCGGCCCCGTCGCCCTACCTGCGGCTCCGGCCCCGGCCCCGTCGCCCTACCTGCGGCTCCGGCCCCGGCCTCGTCGCCCTACCTGCGGCTCCGGCCCCGGCCCCGTCGCCCTACCTGCGCACCGGCCCCGTCGCCCTACCGTCGACCCGGCCCCGTCGCCCTATCTACGGCCCGGCCCCGGCCCCGTCGCCCTACCTTCGACCCGGCCTCGTCGCCCTAACTGCGCCCCGGCTCCGGCCCCGACGCCCTACCTACGGCCCCAGCCGAGCCGCCCACGCCGCTCAACAGCCCGAGCCGCCCGAGCCGCCAGAGCCGCCCGAGCCGCTGAGGCCGCCTGAGTAGCTGAGGAGCCGAGCCGCGGGTGCTGCCGAGCCGCAGTTACTGCCGAGCCGCCCGAGCTGCCCGACCCACCCTGTCTGGTGAGCGAAGCGCCGCTGTCACTGCTCTACAGTTCGCACTGTTAGTCTACTGCTGTCATGGCTACTCCTAGTGTCCTTGTTTTTTACGCCGAGGGTCGAGCCATTGACTTTGCCGTCTGGATAGATGACCTGCAGCTGTTCTTACAGTGCGATAGGGCAGACGGTCTCTCCCTCTTTTACCTCACCTCTGGTGCCTCTTCTGCTCCTGCTGCTGATGCTGACGCCACTGTTCGCTCACAGTGGGCCACGCGCCATGCTGCTGCACGTCTTGCTGTGCGTCGCCACCTCCCTACCTCTGAGCGTGCGCACTTTAGTCAGTACAAGAGTGCTCAGACCTTGTACGACGCTGTAGTTGCACGCTACTCCTCCCCTGCCACTGCTACACTGAGCCGTCTCATGCTACCGTACCTCTTCCCTGACCTTGCTGCCTTTCCCACAGTCGCTGACCTCATTACGCACCTCCGCACTAGTGACACTCGCTACCGCGCTGCGCTTCCTGCTGACTTCTGCGCCAAACCCCCCCCCCCCCCCCCAATGTACATCACTCTCTATTACATAGTCACTCGTCTCCTTGACTCCCTTTGTGTAGTCAGGGACCACTTCCTCTTAGTCTGTCCCACCACTCGCACTGTAGACCTCCTCGAGAAGTCCCTCCTAGCGGCCGAGAAGAGCATAGTCGCTGTAGGGGCCTCTCGTGGTGACCCGCGCACCCCCATCTTTGAGGGGTGTTCCCCCTCCCCCCTTCTGCCCTCTGTTGCCTCTGCTGCTGCGGCCGACCTCGTTGGTCTTGAGTCAATCGGTGCAGCGTCTGCCCCTAGAGGAGACACCGCTCTGGCAAGGGCAAGGGGGGCAGGGGCGCTGGAGGAGCGAGCGGGGGCGGTGGAGGTGGAGGTGGAGGCGGCGGGGGGAGTGGGGGTGGTGGTGGGAGTGGAGGTGGGGGTGGAGGTGTCGGTGGCGGCAGTGGAGGCGGAGGCGGCGGCGGCGGTGGCGGTGGGAGCGGAGGTGGCAGAGGTGGCGGCGGTGGAGGAGGCGGCGGAGGCGGCGGTAGTAGCGGAGGCGGCGGAGGCGGAGGAGGCGGCGGGGGTGGCGGTGGAGCTGGTCGCGGGTCTACGCAGAGGAGTGGCTCCGGTGGTGGTCCGCGCCAGCAGCAGCAGCGCGGTCGTGAGACCCTGTCCCCTCAGTAGCTCCGTGAGTGGTACACTGCACGCCAGCGGGGTGGGGGTTTTGGTCCGTGCACCTACGTCCTCCGCACCGGCGACCGTGCGGGTGAGCAGTGTGGGGGTGCGCACCCCACCCAGCGCTGCTTTGGCCGCCTGACGGACGCGTGGCGTCACCAGTTCCCGGATGCCACAGAGATCCCTCGCTGGGCCGAGCTGTCTAGGGCGGGTGTTGCCATCTATGATCTTGATTTTGATGCTATTCTCTCTGCCATGTATGCTGTGTCTATTAGTGATGAGGGTGACTGTTACCGGTGTTTCCCGCCCGATCCGGGCATTGAGACTGCTGCTCTAGGTGCTGGTGTGGCTGCTGCCCTAGGTGCTTGCGAGGCTGCTGCTCTAGGTGCTAGTGCGTCTGCGTCCTCAGGTACTGGTGAGTCTGCGCTCTCATGTACTACGTCGGCTTCGGCCTCCCTCACCTTCACCCTTGACTCTGGGGCTTCTCGCTCCTTCTTTCGTGACCGCACCACCCTCACGCCGCTTACTCGGCCGGTTGCGGTGTCTCTGGCTGACCCCTCTGGGGGTTCTGTCCTGTCTCACTTCTCCACAGTCCTCCCGTGTCCGGCGGCTCCCTCTGGCACCCTGTCTGGTCTCTACCTCCCCTTGTTCTCTACGAACCTGGTGAGTGGTGCTGCCCTACAGGATGGGGGAGTACACCAATTCACTCTTGCGCGTCAGCGGGTGACGCACTGCACAGAGGCTAGCACAGGCTGACACCTGGCTACGTTTACCCGTCAGCCGGGGTCGAGCCTGTACACACTGACCACTCCGTCTCCTCCAGTTGACGAGTCTGGTAGGGTAGCTGCGTCGGGTCAGGTGTTTGCTGCAGCGTCCAGGTCTGGTCCAGATCTGCCCCCTGTTCGTGTCGTCTTCTGTCTCACGAGACTCTCCTCTGTCGCCACCGCCTTGGTCACCCCTCTCTGCTTCGGCTCAGAGGCATGGCCTCCCGTCTTCTTGTTTCTGGTCTTCCCCGGTCCCTCCCTCCCCTTCCTCAGGGCCCTGGCCCTACCTGTGTCCCCTGTGTCGAGGGGCGCCAGCGGGCTGCCCCTCACTCCTCCCAGTTTCCTCCGACAGAGGCCCCGCTGCACACGCTTCACATGGACGTGTGGGGCCCAGCCTGCGTCCGGGGACAGGGTCACGAGCGCTACTACCTGCTCATTGTTGATGACTACTCGCGTTACACCGCAGTCTTCCCCTTGCGCACCAAGGGTGATGTCACTGAGGTGCTGATCGACTGGATCCGCGCAGCTCGTCTCCAGCTCAGGCAGAGCTTTGGCTCCGACTTTCCTGTTCTGCGTCTGCACTCGGACAGAGGCGGAGAGTTCTCCTCTGGCCTTCTGAGAGCTAACTGTCGCGCACGAGGCATTCGTCAGACTTTCACGCTTCCGGACTCCCTGCAGCGAAATGGGATTGCTGAGCGCCGCATTGGCATGGTCATGGACGTCGCTCGTACGTCTATGATGCATGCGGCTGCCTCCCATTTTCTGTGGCCGTTTGCGGTGGAGTACGCGGCGCATCAGATCAACCTCCACCCCAGGGTCTCCAGGCCGGAGACCTCCCCAGCG